GAATTTGAGAGGATAAAAAATCAATGTGAATGATTTTAAGATAGATATTGGAGGCCGTTAAATGAATCTATTTGAAATCGTCAAATGAATTTATTGAAGTTTGTCATATTTAATATTATAGATTTGACACAAATAAAAGTAATATTCTGTAATATTTACTTCTCTTACAAATTTTACATTTTACTCATTTTTGGTTATATATTCCATAATTTTTGAACTAAAGAAAGCTCCAACAAATAAAACCAATACTCTAAGGAATCAATTTTAATATGTTAATTTTAAGAGATTTGATATGGATTTCTTTTTTTTTTTTGGGTTCTAGTACCTAATTTGACCTAATTAATTTTTTTTTTCATAAATCATTACAGCGGACCCAATTTAGAATATCCAAAAAAAAATATAAAACACATATAACTAAAAAAAAAATATTTAGGGTGGTCCTACACAATGTTATCAGAATCGAATTGGACAGATAGGTCGAACTGGTCAAACTGTGAACCGAATCTTAGACCGGTCCGATTCTTGAGTTGGACCGTATAGACATGAGAATCGTTTTTAAACCGTTAAACCGGCCGATTTTTATGAAAACCGGTGAACCGGCGGTTTGACTGAACAAATACTCAGTTAGCTAAAACCTCGGGGAGAGGGAGGGAGAGAGAGAGAGGATATGGTTTCTGGTGGAGCAGTGTTAGCATATGGAGGAGCATCCCTCTTTTTTAGGGCAATTTTGCCCTAATCTAATTCAATTGCAGTTGATTCTCCAAGCAACAGTCCTCTCAGGCTACAACTCAAGCGAGTGGCGACGGCTCCGACGAACTCTCAGGTGATATCCTCTCTTGAGTGGTGACGGCTCAGGCGATTCTCCTCTTGAGTGGAGATGGCTCAGGCGACTGATTTATCTTTCTTCTTGAACGGTAAGTCTCTCTCTCTCTCAGAAACGGATCGCCTCATCTCTTCTTTTCTCTTCTCTTCACTCTCTCCCACGCCTATGGAAACAACACAGAAGATGAGAGAGAAGTTGTTGGGTCCTTTTTTCTCTTCTCTTCTCTGCAAACAACACAGAAGTTGCTGGGTCCTTTTTCTCAAATAGCTTCTGGAGTTCTCCTTTTTGTCTTATTTACTCTCTTGCCTGGGTCCTTTTTCTCAAATAGCTTTTGGAGTTCTCTTTTTTGCCTTATTTACTCTCTTGGCCCTTTTAATTTATTCCAAAAAATATTTTATATTTTTTTAAGGTAAATTACTTATGTTTTATAATTTTTTATTATACTGCCAGTTCGACCAATTGACCCAACGGTTAAACCATTAAACGATTGACCCGACCTCTCTACCGGTTTGATGTCCGGTCCAGTTCTAATAATATTGGTCCTACACCCCCTCCTCTATCCGCTACTACCAAAGAGAGAGAGAGAGTGAAAAGTGAGAAGAGAAAAGTAAAATTTAATTTAAATGGTTTTCAGAGAGTTGTTGGTCGTTGTTGGATGAGTTTATTTGAGATCGTCAGATGAATTTGTTGAAGTCTTTTCTATTTTATATTATAGATAAATCCATAAAATATGATAGAATTGAGTTAAAAAATATTAATTTATATACATGTAATCAAAATCGAGTCAAATATAATATAAATTAAAAATCTAATTTATCAAAAATCATATCCCCAAAATATATTCTATTAAAAAAGTTCTACAAATATCATTTATAAAATATTATTTTTTTAAGGATATATTAGTATTGAATTTTTTCAAGAGATAAAAAAAATTAGTCTTGAACTTTTGATTCAAGATACGTGTAAGACATGTTAGTTTGAGATAAATAATTAAATAAATAAAATTAAAATTAATTATATTCAATATAAATGTGTTAAATAGCGCCCTTATTTTTTTTATTTGTTAAATTGATGATTTTTTTTAATCAAAATGTTATTAATGTATCTTATAAAAATTTAAAATGTTACACTAAAAAGATGATATTAATGGCAAATTTGACTCATTTAATTATTATTTTAATGAAATTCCTATGTTCCAAGATCAGTTGTAATCGTTGATAGATTAAAAAAAAAATATTAAGAAAAAAATGGTAATTTCTTGACTGTTGAATGAATGAATTTAAGATCATAAGATGTGTTCAAAATCAACCGAAATCGTTGATCGATTGGGAAAAAAAATATTAAGAAAAAAAAATGTAATTTCTTGACCGTTGGATAAATGAATTTGAGATCGTAAAATGAACTTGTTAAAGCCGCCCTGTTTTATATTATAGATGTCATTACATGAAAATATTTCTTTCTATTCTAATTACACATTTATATCAATATACAATTACTAATTCTAATTTATAAAACCATTCAGGCATCCGTTAAAGGAAGGAGAAATATGGGCGAAATAGGATGCTCAGTTATGCATCGGGACTCAGATAGTGTTAGAAGTAAGGGTTTTGTTAATCAAAAAACTTTGGGCTCTTGCCTTGCACTGTCTAATTCCAATTCAAACCTAATTCTTCATTACTTCAACAATGGGGGTCATGCTGTGCATCTCTGTGCATGTACGTATTTGAGCATTTTCTGTTGTGTATGCATTTTTATGTTTTTGTTTTGTTTCTATGCTAGGGTTTGAAAGCGAGAGAGGGTGTGCTGGTTTGAGGGGGAAAACGCACAAATTGGAGAGAGAGAAAGAGAGAGAGATTTGTGGGTTTGATAGAAAGGGGTAAATAGAAATGAGACGTAGAGTAAGGGTGTTGTGTGCATGCATTAGGAAAATGGCTTACCTGGAAGTCTTCGGAGCTACGATGACCGCTATGGTGGCCGATGATGCTATTCGCAGCAAAAAGAGGGAGAGACATAGACATAGAGAGGTGGAGGGATCTGGGCATCGAGATTAGTGTTATGGGTGAAGGATTTGGTCGCCGGTACTGAGAAACTACCAACCAATTTGTTAAAATTTGACACGACACGATTAATCGACACGAATTAAGTAGATTTAAATGAGATTTTAACGGGTTTGGGTGATAAACGGGTTGACACGTCAAACACGTTTAATAAACAAGTCGTGTTCGGGTGAGACCTGTCAAACCGTTTATCACACGTTTACCCATTTTAAAAAATTAATATAATAAAACATTAATAATTATTTTAAAATTTTAACAAGAAAAAAAGAAATTAAAAAAAAAGTAAAGTAATAGTTTAAAGACAAAGGAGAGGAAATGAGGAACATTTCAAAGACAAAGACAAACCAATGCCTTTTATTTTTGTCCCACATTGAAAGATGAGGAAAGATAGGGAGGGCTGAGTTTCCTATAAAAGGTAATGATCTCTTCTTTTTTTTTTTTTTTAAGTTTTTAAGTCTTATTTTTATGAAATTTAACTAAAAATTTCTCTTTTTTGAGGTAAGTGCAATTGGTAGTAAAAAAAAGTGAAGTATTAAAATTTGTTGATATAATTTTTTAAAAATTAAATGGGTTAAACGAATCGTGTCGTGTTCGTAATGAGATTTTTTACCCATTTATTAAACGTGTCGTGCATGAGTTTATATGTTTTTCACCCATCACTCATTTAACCCGACACATAACTATTTAACCTGACACAATTGACACCCTTACTATCAACAATGATTTAGGGTTGGGAAAGGGGGAGGGGTTACCAGTTTAATTCTTGATTTTTGTTTTGAAGAGTTGGCTTTCCATTTATGACCCTTGTCTTTGGAAGCACAATGACAAAAATACCTCTTAATATCCTCATGTGTCAAGCACATGATATTTTTCATCTATTATTTGGATAGCAATTAGGGATAAGGACTAAAGTGAGTCAATTTTTTAACATGAAAAACGAAATTAACAAAATTCAAATTTTAAAAACAAAAGTATAATAAGTAGCAAACTTCATGGACCATTGGTACAATTTAACCAATTGTATATTGTCCTCATAATGGCTAGTGGTGTAATAATGGTAACTTCATTTTCATTCAACTTGGCGTCAAATACAATATTCATTCAATTGTGCTCTTTCATTTTTAAAAATTGTGTGGGTGTAAAAGGATGAATTAAATTTTATACCCTAAAAGATTTAAAAAATATATTTTGTATTCTTAAAGTTTTTTTTTATATTGCACTTAAATATATTAAAAGTGTTGCAACATGGCCTTTTCGTTAGGTTTTGTTACTCATTCTATCAACGACAATAAAATGATTTTTAAAAGAATAGAGAACAGGAGCTAACGAAAAGGCCACATGATAACCTAATACATGGAGGGTGCAATATGAGAAATATAATTATTAAGAGTAAAAAATAAGAGATCTTAAATCTTTATGGGTGCAAAGTGAGATCCTTCATAAAAAATATAAAAAACAATTAATGTTAACAAACATACAATGGTGTTATAGTAAAACTAACTCAGTATTTGTTTTCTTTCCTTTTATTTTCCTTTGAATACCAAACAATGAAAATTACTCTTCTCAACTTTTTATCCGTCCATCGTGCCAAACAAAAAGAAGAGAAAGATTATTTTTTTATCATAGATAAAAAGTTAATTCCTTGTACTTTTTTCGTCCTTCTTATTTTTTATCATTCTTACAAAACCCGCCATTAATAATAAAATCATAATATTTCACTACATTTTTGCAGCTAGCATCCACAGTTGTCTATTTTATCAACATAGACTTGATGATAGTCATTTCTGGCATATGATTTTACTAGTTTTAATTACTTTAAATTGACAACGAAGATCTATAACGATGAACATATCTCATTCTCATATCCGAAATACTTGTAAATCATATGTTTTAATTTATGATAGAAAATTAAATACAGTTTAGATTAGATCTATATTATTATCAATTCATAATATTAAGGGTATAAATTAAAATTTTTAATATTTAAGAATGTAAACTAAAAATTAAAACAACTTTCGGAAGACTGCAAATTGAGATTAGCCCAAGGGATGATGAATTTTACTTCGAGACGAAGGCAAACCGGTACGCGTCCGCGTTAGATCCACGCCAAAAGGAGTACAGCCAAATAACAGGGTCAACCCATTCCCAAATCACTCACAGTCTCTCTCCAAATCACAACGAACTCCAAATCTCTCTCTCTTTCTCTCTCTCCTCTCTCCTCTTTGAACATTTTCTCTCAGTTTCCGTGCAAACCAACGGTCTCTGTCATTGTCAATCATGGGTGGTTCTCAGAGCCGAGAAGGTCTGGATCTCTCAGACTACTCAGACGACGACTACAAAGAAGAAGATTCAGAAGAGCAATACGAAGATGCAGAAGGCAATTATCAAACCACAACTAAAGCCTCACCAAGCACCAAAACCGTAGACGAAGTCGACGCCAAACTGAAAGCCCTAAAGCTCAAATACCCTTCGAACCAAAACCCTAGTTTCATGAAAAACGCAGTCAAATTGTACCTTCACGTCGGTGGCAACACTCCAAAAGCCAAGTGGATCGTCTCGGAGAAACTCACTTCTTACAAATTCATCAAAACTTCCAAAATTGGAGCCGATGATGACGATGACGATGACGATGACGATGGCGAAGAAAGTGAACCGTACGGTAAAAGTGAGGGGTTTTGGTTTTTGAAGGTGAGTACGAAGATTAGAGCTAGGGTTTCGACTGATATGCAATTGAAAATGTTTGGTGATCAAAGAAGAGTGGATTTTGTGGACCATGGAGTTTGGGCGTTGAAGTTTTTTGTTGATGAGGATTATAGGAGTTTCGTGACGAGGTTTCAGGACTGTTTGTTTGAGAATGTGTACAGAATGAGGGCTACGGGGAGAATAAGGTTAAGGTTTATGGGAAAGAGTTTATTGGGTGGGTAAAGCCCGAGGAATCGGATGATTCAATGTGGGAAGATGCTGATGAAGGAGTGTGGAGGAGTCCGGGAAAGGCGACCCCTGTAAGGGGGAATCAGGATTTGTTGGAGGAGTTTGAGGAGGCAGCTACGGGTGATGGGATACAGAGTTTGGCTTTGGGGGCTTTGGATAATAGTTTTCTTGTGAGCGATTCGGGTGTTCAAGTGGTCAAGAATTTTAGCCATGGAATCCATGGGAAAGGTGTCTATGTGAGGTTTGATGATGGGGGTCGAAAGGGAAGTCCGAGTGTTGCGCATTCAACGCCAAAAAGGGCCCTTTTGATGAGGGGTGAGACGAACATGATGATTATGAGCCCGGCAAAGGAAGGGAAGCCACACGCGACTGGGCTTCATCAATTGGATATTGAGACAGGAAAGATTGTGACCCAATGGAAGTTTGACAAGGATGGGACTGATATTACTATGAGGGATATTACCAATGATGCAAAAGGGTCGCAATTGGATCCTTCTGAGTCTACATTTTTGGGGTTGGATGATAATAGGTTGTGTCAGTGGGATATGCGTGATAAGCAGGGTATTGTTCAGAATATTGCTAATGCGCATTCACCCGTTTTGCATTGGTCTCAAGGACATCAGTTCTCAAGAGGGACAAATTTTCAGTGCTTTGCAACTGCTGGTGATGGTTCAATTGTTGTTGGGTCACTTGATGGGAAGATAAGGTTATACTCGAAGACTTCTATGAGGCAGGCCAAGACTGCTTTTCCGGGGCTTGGTTCACCTATTACTCATGTTGATGTTACTTATGATGGAAAGTGGGTGTTGGGCACGACCGACACATATTTGGTTCTCATCTGCACCCTGTTCACTGACAAAGACGGGAAGACAAAGACTGGTTTTAGTGGTCGAATGGGGAACAAAATTCCTGCTCCAAGATTGTTGAAGCTAACTCCAGTGGATTCACATATGGCTGGGGTAGACAATAAGTTCCACGGTGGCCAATTTTCATGGGTAAGCTACTTATTCTGTGTTTTTTTACAGGTCTAACTTGCTCGTTAATTTTCATGGTAAAAGCTTAGTTGATATTTCATTGGTTTGTCAGAAGTACCACATAATGATGCTAATTCTGTATGATTTGCTCATTCATGCGACATACAATCACCATGGCATTGGGGTCCTGATAATGTACATTTGGTTTGTTGTAGTGTGATTGTCGTGCTGTTGATGGCCCTTCTAAGTAAGAGGTGTCCTTGTGAGGGATTAAGAAGTAGATCAGCTTGAGTTTTGGTTAATTAATGTCTGGAGGCAGAGGAAAAGTTATTTCTGTTGTTTCCAGACTATTAGCAATAGATTGCTTTTAATTGTAGCCTATGAGTGAAGGAGAACTATATGCAATATTTGTTCACGAAGGAAAATTGTGTCTATGTTTTCTGGATAGTGACAAGATTATGGGGCTCTAATGATCTGGTAGTTGGTTATACACAAGGGTTGTATGGTTATAAGAGTTGTCTATTAGGATTGAACTGCTTGAGTGTCAGGTGTGTTGGGAATAATCTGGAAATATGAAGGCAAAGGTGAAACAACCCTGCTATGACTATGATACATCCTCCGGGAAAAAAACATAAGGGAATTAAGGAAAGAAAGAAAGAAAAAAGAGAGTATTCTTCTAACATCTTACATGTATAGCTTGACACATTTGGCGTTATGGAGGTGCCAAAGCAGTTCTTTTGATCTACCTTTCTCTTCTGTCATGCACATTCAAGAGGTTTTGATGCTGGTTGGTTTTATTCTTTGGTTTGCACATTAGTTTTTTATCATTCAATGTGATCGATTTGTTTACCAATTGAGAATCTATCATCTTTTCTGCCTTCACCTCCTTTGCCTTGTGGGTATGAAGTCAAATAGATTGGAAATGCTTTTTATAGTGGTTGCAAATGTTCCGAACCTGTTTGCACCTCTAGATTGTCGAGGGGTAAAGAAGTTTGGTTTGTGCTAACTAACACCATAGACTTCCCTTTCAAGAAAAATGACAGGGCCATTTCCTAGGCTCTGTAAGTGTTATGTGTTTAGGCCGGCCCAAACGAGATTTTTGCCACTGATGCTTGGACAATTTTCTGTAAACAAATATTGGTTCATTATCAGAACATGGGGATGCTAGAATGATTTTAAGTGAGGATGTACCAGTACATCTAATTTAGAACATTGATTTTACTGTTTCTTGTATACTAACTTCAGCACATCATCTTGCTTAGAGTTGGAGGGCAAAACAACCTGTATGCCTTCGTGACTAAGGGGTTCCTGCATTCGAAAGATACTTGCTTTTTCTGGTTTGATTATCTATGTTTTGTGATTAGTGTATTTATATTTTAAATCTTCATTTCCATCTCACATATACACTTTTACACTGTCTTTCAGGTCACTGAAAATGGGAAACAAGAGCGCCACCTTGTCGCAACTGTTGGCAAATTCAGTATAATATGGAACTTCCAGCAGGTGAAGAACAGTGCTCATGAATGCTACCGGAATCAGCAAGGCCTCAAGAGCTGCTATTGTTATAAGATCGTCTTGAAGGATGAGTCCATTGTTGATAGTCGGTTCATGCATGACAAATTTGCTGTGAGTGATTCTCCAGAAGCTCCGTTGGTCGTGGCAACCCCAATGAAAGTAACATCTTTCAGTATGTCTGGTAGGCAATAACCTTGTTGGAGAATGATTGTGCACATCTTGTGTATATGGAGATGTCCTTCAATTGTGTATTTGGATACCTTTTTATCTTCAATTTTTTTTTAGTTCAAATTTTTTTTTTTTGTTTTTTTTTTTTAAAGTCTTGTGGATAAGAATGGCTTCTTGTATAAATTTTGAACTTCCCTGTTTTTTCGATGTGTTTAGTTGACTCTGATGATGGGGGTTGAAGTAGTTGTAGATTGCAGTGAAAGGGTCAAATCTTTCCTTGTGCTGTGAACTATGTTGCTGTCTTCTTGAGATTGTGGATTTGTGTTCAAGCTGATGAGCAATTATATGTACACACAATTATCCTTTTTATGTTAACCATGCGCTGCTAACTCGTTTGGAAAACTATTCAGAATGCAAAGGTCATACTGTGTCAATAATGTTGGCGCGATATCAACAACCAATAATAAAACACAGAGTAGATAACGGAGGATCTTATTTTGGTAGTTATTTATCCATATAGAGGACAAGTGGGTAGTTATTTTGCTTACATGGAAGGTTGATTATTAATTTTAGTGGGATTTATATGCTCATTTATTTTGATAGTATTGATTAATGATATCACGTCAGTATTGTCACGTAGTATCATCGTTGCAATAATGAATAGTTTCTCCCAAAAATAGTGCACCCACACCTCTTTGTGCTGGTCAGTGACGCCAGTGAATAGGGCTCGAGAGAGAGTAGTGGTGGTGGTTCTGTCAACCTGAAACACCTTCATGGCTACTCATCCAAAAAAGAAAAAACCCCCAATTTTTTACTGAAAATTGAGACCTACCGCTAACAAAAGCTAAGGTTTTTAGGCTTAATAAAGCGGAAGCAATTTTTTTTTAAAAACACGCTTCTTTCAAAATCTTTTTTGCCAGACACCATGTCAATTGAAGTCGTGCTTCTGAGACACTCTTCCAGAAAAAGACAAACGGTTGGTAAATAAATTGAAAAGGATGGTAAAGTAGTACACAATTAATGAAAAATGGGTAAATAAGTTAAAAGTTTCTTAGTTTTAATTGGGCCAATTCGTGGTCTTAGTGTTTTGGGGGTTGGTCCAGTCTGATTTTTTTTTTGAGTAAAACGGAAGCTAATATAATTTTTTAGACTTAATTGAGCAAAAATACAACACTAAATCTTATTTGAGTTAAATTACAGTTTTTTTTAAAATAACAAGAATCTCATTCGATAAAATGGAAAGAGATGGAACCTATATGTTTGCCAACTGTCTACTATGGCAACAGTGAAGTAATGGGAAGCTAATTAAGGGTGCAATAATTATCATAACCCTTCTTCTTTGGAAATTTTGAAAGTGGGATAGATTTTGTATAGAATCTCCACAAAATAGATAAGAATAACTGTGATTTTTTTCCAAAAAAAAATAGAGGAAGAAGACGATTAAAATTCTAGAGTTTTGGTGTACGTGTTCGTCGTTGTCGGCCAAATCTTCACCGAAAAATGCTAGTTGCCTTTGGGTTTCATATATAAAATATATTATTTAGTTTTCTTTTTTTTTTTTCAAAACTATAATTTTTGTTCAAAAAACAAAATTTTAAAACCCTAATTTCAAAGATGAAAATCACAAAGTAGAATTCTTTTATATTGAATGAGTAATTCCAAAATTGAAGGTATTTGAATACAAATTCTAAACATTTTGAAAAAAAAATTGTTTAATTTAACATTGTTGAGTAACTATTTTGGGATTCAAATGATTTCATTCTTATCTCTGTTGTTAGTAACCATTTTGGAACTACGATCATTTGAATCGTATAAAGTTAAGATTGTTTATTAAAAAAAATTTTTTTTTAGTTCAATTTTTTTAGTTTAATAAAATCCCAACCCATTTTTTGTTAAAAAAAAATAATAAAATGTCAATTCTTCAATCTAAATGAGTTGAGTTTTACTTATCAAAATTATGTGTATATGGTATAAATAACTATAATGAGTAACTGTATAGTGAATGTACATATTCATGATATGAAACTAAATTACACCCAAAAGGTATAATGCTCCTAAAAACCTAATTCAAAGCCATTATAAAAATTTTAATAGTTAACAATGTGTGGGATAATGATTACATTAATATAGATATACCATATAGTTATTGTATGATACCCTAACATTGTTGTTTAGTTTTGGATGTTGTTTGTTTCAATAAAAAGTATAATATCAATTTTGGGTAATCTATATAAATTAAGTATAAATTATGAAATTTTATTGTGTTATGTTTTGAATAACTCTATTAAATAACTATATGTTGTATATCTATTCAAGTTTTTGTCACATAATCGTGTTTGCATAAAAATAAGACCATATACGTCTTTGGACTTTATCCAATTAGAGATACATCATGCCTTAACAATTGCATGAGACTGTAATTGTTACACCTATTAAAAAACAGTTAAACCAATTAAAAAAAACAAAGTAGATCTTTTTTCCCCGTGTTCTAACAGCGAACAACACATAGACGGTGAACGAAATCGCAAGAAAGCTGATCGTTGAAGAACACATTTTAAGGCAAAGATTATACAAAACTGCAATTCAAAATTCAAAATAAAATGATAATATATAATGAAATCTTTACATATTTGATTAAATACATAACTACCAATTAAAAATACATAATTTAAGAGAGGGTATTTAGGTTAAAAAGGTTTGATTTCATTTCAATTTTGTACCTAAACATAATATACTTTATTAAAATTGAACTTAATAGAATAAATAACTTATTCATACACTTTTTCTCAAATAAGTCTAAAAAATTATATCCACACCCAAAAATCCTTCTTTTTTTTTTTTTTTTGTATAGAAGTCCAACAAAATGTTCTTTTGAATCTTAAAAGACAATTGAAATTATGAACACTAATTTATCTTTAATGACATAAAATTAATAATATTATAAAATGGACAGTGACTGTGACATTAAAACTCATATTTGCCCTGATATGCATGTCACATTTGGGTTCTACTCTCTCACCATTTATCGTGCCAACCAACCGTCTTTCTTTTCTTAAAATTCTATATCTGTCAAATATTCCTCTCGTTTCATTTCTTATCACATTAACTTTTCTTGATCCATCTGAATCTTAGGGTTTACGATTTCATCAGGGACTAAATAGTGACAGTGACGATGAATTCTATAGAATTAGACAAATTATAATAATAGGGGAAGGCTATAATACCGACCGGTTAAAATTCAGTCCGATACCCAAAAAAAATGTGTGGCACTCAATTTTTGTCATTAAATATTACTCTATCCGTTTCTAAATATATGTGGTTTAAGGTTTTTACACAAGATTAAGGAATCTATTAAATAGCTCTAGTATAAGTAAAAAATAATTGCACAAAACTAAAATACTCTTATTCAATACATATTGGGAAAGAAAGGAATATGAAAGACACTTAGCCTACACTTAATCTATTAAGCACTTATTGGAAAACAAAGGTAAGGGTAAATTTAGAAGAAAAAATATTAATTATGCTTTCGTTTTATAAAACGACAGATATTGTGAAACGAAAAAAAATTAGGTAAAACGACATATATTTAGGAACGGACATAAAAAGTTACTCACTAAAAGTGTGATAACTTTGTCAATAAAAGTTGTACTATTTTTTTTAAAGATTGTAACCTCAGCTGTCATTTTTTTGTGGTACTTTTACCTTTATTAATTGTAACCTAACATTCAATAGTTATAATTTTATATCCAAAAATAATAATTTTACCATAAATAGTTATAAACTCATTTTCAAAGATTGTAATTTTATTTTTAATTGTTGTAACCTTACTTAAAGAGTTTGTACCTCACCTTTAAAGGTGATAACTTTATTTCAAGAGTAATAACTTTGTCTTTGTAAGTAGTAATATTATATTTAATAGTCATGATCGATCATGATTAATTAAGATTGATCCCAATGCCAATTTTTTTTTTTTTTGGATTTCACTCAATTAGGATCGATCATGATTAATTAAAATAGATCTCAATGCCATATTTTTTGTGTGATTCCAGTCAATTATGATCGATCATGATTAATTAAGATCGATCCCAATGTCAAATTATTATTATTATTATTATTTTGTGATTCCACTCAATTAAGATAGATCATTATTATATGAGATCGATATTAATGCATTTGATGATCCAAAAAGTGGGACCAAACTAAATTTCGGTAGTTTCAATTAAATAGGATCGATCGCGATTAGTCGAACTTTTTTTTTTCCTAAACTGGTCCTGATCTTATATTTAGTTACATTAAATTGATATGTAATTTCATAAAATTAATTGACATTTTATGAATTAATTTTAATTTTATGAATTTTAAATTAATGTTAATTTTATGAATTTTAAATTTATAATTTTGAATGTTAATTTAATACAATTGAAGGTCAATTTAATGTTATTTTTGATAAATTGAGTGTTAGTTGGATAAAATTAAAAATTAATTTCAGAAAATTACAGGTCAATTTAATGTAACTAAATATAAGATTGAGACCAGTTTAGAAAAAAAAATTCATGAAATTAACATTAATTTAAAATTCATAAGATTAAAATTAATTCATAAAATATTAATTAATTTTATGAAATTACATGTCAATTTAATGTAACTAAATATAGGATTGGAACCACTTAAGAAAAAAAAAAAGTTCAGCTAATCGTGATTGATCCTATTTAAATGAAAACCACAAGAAATTTAGTTTGGTCCCAATTTTTGAATCATCAAATGCATTAATATCGATCGATCTCATATAGTTATGATCGATCTTAATTGAGTAGAATAACAAATAATAATAATAATAATAAATTAGCATTGGGATCGATCTTAATTAATCATGATCGATCATAATTGAGTGAAATCACAAAAAAAAATAAAAATTGGCATTCGGATTAATCTTAATTAATCATGATCGATCCAAATTGAGTGAAATCTCCCCCCCCAAAAAAAAAAACAAAATTGCCATTTAGATCGATTTTAATTAATCATGATCGATCATGACTATTAAATGTAATGTTACTACTTGAAAGGACAAAATTATTACTCCTGAGATAAAGTTATCACCTTTAAAGGTGAAGTACAAACTACTTAAGTAAGGTTATAACAATTAAAAGCAAAATTACAATATTTGAAAGTGAGTTTATAATTATTTATGGTAAAATTATTACTTTTGGATATTAAATTATAACTATTTAAGGTTAGTTTATAATTAATAAATGTAAAAGTACCACAAAAAAATGGTGGCAGAGGTTATAACCTTTAGAAAAAATAGTATAATTTTTATTGGCAAAGTTATCACACTTTTAGTGAGTAATTTTTTAATATTTAATGATAAAAATTGAGAGTCACACATTTTTTTCAATACCGTACCGAATTTTGACCGATCGGTGCCGTAGCCTTTCCCATAATAACAATGAAAGTGAATTTACATTCTCATTGTCTAAATTCTACGAACCTAGACATGACAATGATAGTAACAATAAAAGTGAATTTTTGTTGATATATAGAAAGTGTGATTGTTAAAAAAAAAAAAAAAAGAAGAATAAGAAAAAGAATGTCAACTTTCAACTCAATTTAGAATTGTATTTCTTTTGAGTATTTTCCTCGAATAAATTACGATAATCTAACAACATGTTTGATTTTACATATTAGTTAAGTAGAATTTACTGATACAAACATGAGATTTAGCTAGTGATCGAAACGAGATAAAATCCTATCTTATTTGTTAGTTTTGACAAGAATACGTTAAAGGCGCAGTATGACATTGATGCCCAAACTATCGGTTTAAACTCCCTCCGTTTCTCGTCATGTTTCATAAAGAGGAAAGAGTGATAAAATGTCACACAACCCACAAGTATGGCAACTAATATCTCAGTTTAAAAATAAAAAGCGAGAAAGAGATTTTAAGGAGTTTATTGTAAGACGTTTTAGTAACAAGTATCATATAAGCTTAGTTAGCAAGATAGTTTCTAGTAGGAGGGGGCACCAAAAGATTTCTTAGTGCCCTCATTCTCTAGAATATTTCTAATTAATCGATTTTTTATTGTTTCGTTCAAGAAAAAAAGAGAAAAAATACGAGAGAGTTAGACGTATAAGATAAAAGAACTGAGAGATGAAAATGCACTTTTGTCATTAAAAATAATAAAAGTTGTAATTATGCATGACTTTTAGAAAAAATATGTCCTTGAGGAACAAGATATTGGGTGTAATGGTGACATCACGTCACAATTATCGCGTGGTATCACTATTCAATAAAAACATAACAAATAATTATATGAATTTCATATATTATAGTAATTACCATGACATGCCACTTAATAATTATTCATGTAGGTCCACTTTATCCGTATATAAATTTATTATTAAATAGTGTCACTATTTCCCCTAATATTTATTTATATTTGTACTTAATACTAATTTTTTTTCTAAAAATAGACTTCTAATTTTCACAAAATTACTTGCTGACGGGCTAGTTTGGTCCATGACTAATCTCTCTCTCTCTGTCTCTCACGCCGGCCATTCACAAGCAGCACCAGCGCCACCAGATCCAGCGCCGCCCTCACTCAGGTGACTCTCTCTTTCTCCCACTCTCTGATTCTTCTCTGTCACCGTCATCCATTACGAACGCCATCCAGCACCCCAGTCTGCCACTTCCTCACGACCCCCACACCACTCCAGCAATCCTTCGCCTCATCCCCAAATCCAAACCCTAATTTTTCTCTCTCCACATCCATATCCGATTCCTTTGCCCAAAGCCTATCAGAGAGAGCCCCCGCCTCCTCAATCCCTAGATCCGATAAAACCCCTAGATTCTGATAATCAGGACGCTCAACAAACCCCAGTTTCAAACTATCAAAGTGAAGGTTTATTGTCGGAAGCCCATGCTGCAGTGACATCCACAACCCCCTTTATCCACTCGACCGCCTCCGCCTCAATTTGCAATTATTCTTCTATTCTAACCTTTTTTTTTTTTTTTTGCTGTGGATTTTTTTATTGCATTTGTAGAAAGTTTGGATTTTGGACGTGTGTCCTACTATGTCATACTAACTGCTTTCTGAGTTGTCCGCTTAGTCGGGTTCTTAGGAGAGACCTATATATTCTGCCATTCCCCTTGGGTTGGTATCATGGCCTTTAGGATTTGTGGGTGTGTGCCGTGATGTCTCAATACTTGGGAAGACTTAACTGAAAGTAGCGGACACATGTTTTTGCTGTGTGTGATGATTTGGTTAAAGAATGAAAATGAGGGCAGAAAATTGAAGTCACAAAACTGAATAAGAGGGTGTTCGGGAACAGAATCACAAATCAAAAAATAAAAGATTCTAAGCAAATAAGTGGTTAGAAAACCAGTGATTAGGATGTGGATAAAGTTCGCCTAAAGTCCTATTTGGATGTGTTTACATTTGTTAATAGTTCACTCCAGGACTCAGGGCTGTTATAGTCCTATTGTTCATGGGTTTCTTTTCAAAGTTTAAATTTGCTTTCTATGTAATTTTGGTTCCTTGGTAAAGCGGTAATGTTCATGCCCCCCCCAAAACAAAAACCAAAAGATTTTCTATAATTTCGGTTACTCAATAAAATTTTACTCCTACAGTTTATAAAAAAATTAGGATGTGGATGATTGTAAATGGTCTTTGGGGTTGGTTATAGCTTAGATTGTCTAGAGGTTTTTAATTTTTGTATAACCAAAAGGAAATCATACAATGCAATGCAAGCAGAACACCCATAGATTGTTTTGGGATTTTTTCCATTGCATTCGCTAAATCTTTACTCACCATGGAGGTAGTTTTGACATGGATCTTGCTCTCATTTTCAATTATTGGGATCTAATGTTGTATTCTAATAGCTACTATCTATAATTATTAGACTGTTTTTTGGCCTAACTATTGATATAATTAATTTTATTTTTTTCTTTTGACATCACGAAGGAGACTTTTGATATTGAAATTTTGGTAGTTTATTCCTGGGATAGCCACTGGCAATTGGCTTGGTTGATGATAGTTGTTACATTGCATGTATAAGTCATATTTTTAAGTACCCATTTGATACTCGTGTAAGGTTTTAGCTATTATGATTTGCAAGGATGGTGACATGCAATCAACAAAGATTTTTTTTATCATGGATTTTTCTTGGCTTTTTCACATTTGGTATGTATCACTGTTGTATGATAGTTATCACTGAGAATCACAAGCATTAATTGCCATGGGGTTTCATTGTATCAGATCAAATGAATAAAATTTGGATGGAAGTTGAGAACTCACACTAAATCAAAATGCTAAAGATTTGATTATTTCAATTAAACTTTAGGGAACAAATCAAATTAGTAAAATTTGAACTGTATAAATTATAAATTATTCTAAAATAAATAACTTTCCAAACCCAAATTTTGACCTTAATAGCCACATAAACTTGATCCGAGCTTCCAAACCAATCCCCAAACCCAAACCCAAACCCAAACCCAAACCAACATTTTCTTCTTATACCCCTCACGATTTTGTCCTTTTTCCGTATGAAAGAGCATGAGCATCGTCAATCGTCAACATTCTTTCTTTCTTTGTCTGTCTCTCTCTCTCAACTCCGAGGCTGGCCACAAGTTGACTTTGTCTCTCACTTGTCATCACAAGCAACAAGCTAAATTGGTTGTTTGTCCTCTTTCTTTGTAGGTAATTTTTGTCATCTCCTTCATCTTTCTCACATCACCATTATGTATATCTTTCATAGAATTTTAAGGAAAATTGACATATTGATTGATTTGGAATATTGGAATCTCTGTGTGTGATGAGATAGTATATATTTGTATTGCTTAGGTTATTCCCTTGCTATGCAAATATGATTGGGCATGTGTTTAGTTTCGGGTAGAATCCAACTGTTGTTGTTGAATCAATTTGTTTTGTATTTTATTCAATGATTCAAGATTCGATTTCTTTATATCAAAATTTTAAATCATTGACATTGATGTTGGAGTATCATTGTATATCTAGGAATTTAAGCATCGTGTTGTTTTGAGCTAGTGGTATTCCCCACTGGAAACTTAGGGCCAGTTTGGTAACTATCTTTGTCTTGTGTTTGTATTTTTTTTTTCAATTTTTGTCAAAAATGAAAACAAAGACATGTTTGAGTATTATTTTTGTTTTTGTTTTATATTAGTTGTCTTGAAAAAAATAGGAACAAAAAAATTGTGTTTCAGAAAACATTCGAAACACAAAACACGTGCTCAACTCAGCTGAAGTTTTTAATGAGGTCTCAGATTCGATCCTCATTATCAACAAAAATGTGTTATTTTTCGTGGAAGTATAAAAACCCATTTCAAGCGTCTCCCCTCCCATCTCTTCTTTCTCCATCTCTCCCTCCTCTTCTCCTTTCTCTGTATTAGATGACCGGAAGAAAACCCCATCGCTGCCTCTTCTCCCCATCGTTGCCTATCTCCTCCCCAGCAGCGCTGCCTCTCTCCTCCCCATCGCTGCCTCTCTCTCTCCTCTCTCCTTCTTCTGTGTGAAACCCAGAAACTGTGCATATATACACAGATTTGTGCATAGAAGGTGAAAAGAGGATGAGGGGATTGTCTTCAAGCCATGACCTCCACTGTGAGGAAGAAGATCTGTGCGTGTGAAGAAGATCTCTGTGTGTGTGTGGGCGCGTGTGTTGTGTTGATTTGAGATTTAATTGCCAAATAGATACCAAATATATTTAGGATAAAATTTGAATTCGTTACCAAACATATTTTTTGTTTTTATTCTCATAATTTGATAGACAAAAATGACTCCCAAACATATTTTCTGTTTTAGTGTTTATCACAAAACAAAGACAAAAATTATCTTTGTTTTTAATTTTTTTCAAGACGCGAAAACAAAAACGTTACCAAACGACCCCTTAAATTCTCGTGTCTGATTTGTGGGGATATGACTTGTGGGTTTTTTTGATGTCGAGATTTTGGCTATGACTGATCTTGAGTAGGCCTGTTCATGGATTGGATTCTGATCCAAATGCGATTAATCGGATATAGATTTATATTTTTTTAATGATAATCCGAACCTGAATAGGATATCCTATATTTTACGGATTTGAATTTGGATATACCTATATTCGATTCAATTATGTTTCGATCCGAATTATTTATATACTAGGGATAACCCGTGCCTTGCAATTCAAAAAAAATCGAGCATTGAACTTGGATTACTAAGTTGAATGCCTAAACTGTTCTCATAATCCGTGCCTAAAATTAATGTGCAATTTAAAAAAATATAATATTATTTTTGAACATGAACAATCATACAACTAAATATAGACACGTATTAAGCTGAAAGTCTAATATGTATTTTTAATGTCATGACTTTGGTGAAATAAAGTGGGTCAGAATGCTTTCATTTTAACTATTAGAAGGAATATTAAAGCCTGAATGTACCATGTATGCTAAACAGAAATTGTCAATATTTAATCTAAAAGAATTTATTTTGTTCTTTTAAAACTATTTGGACAAAATTTTCTATCAAAATATGATCCCATAAACTATTAACCTGTATAGACAATCAATAAAATACTAATTACACAATCCACCATTTAGAAAATGTTAACTAAACAAATAAACTCTGAAACTTGCTTGGCAATCCTCAACTTATATTGCACCAATTCAATCAAAATGTGTTGTCTATTCATCAACATTTATAATCAAAATAATGTTCTTTGTTATTTTAAAAAATTTGGACATAACGTCTCCTATAAACTCAGGTATCAGCATGTATAGATAAATACTATATGTTACAATCACAACCCAAATTCAAATACTGGACTCACCATCATGTCATTGTCCAACCTTAACATAAAATATTCAACCATCACAACAATATAAACACGGGTGTGTGCAAATACAGTCCAAAACAAAAAATAGTACATAATCATGTCAATTTGAAAGAAGGTAAAGTACAAAAAATATTAGTTGGTTAATACATTTCGTATATTAATTCTTTAATCTGTATACACAATTTTCATAACTAAACTGCGACAATCATGAAAGAAGTTACGCTTATAACCATGAAATATTAATAACTCAGGTATGTAATAATCAAAACAAACACACAGATGCATAAAAAAATACAATTTTATTCATCAAAGTGCCAAAATCCATAATCAATTTTAATTTTCTTCTTCAACGTCGCACATTAATATTTCATGTCACCAACTGTACAAAGAGCGTATAAAAAAAAAAATCTAATCTTAATACTGATAAGCGCCTCAATTGATAATACAATGCATCTGAATACCAAAATGGTTTGTTTGATGTAGGGGTATGGGACTGCGCAAAGCTGCTTTAATAGCTCTAAAACAATTTTTCTTTGCACCAACTTAAAAAGAAATTTAAGTTGCCCTGTGCACCAACTTAGTTAAGGTTCGACTGTCAATGCTCGTTGTGCATCACATGAATCATTTTCAAGCAATTTAAAAACTTAAAATTGAGAAACCTAGTCGAACCCATACATCTACATTGTAAACACTTACACATAGTAACCAATCCCATTGGACACTCCCAATTGTACCTAATACCAATGGTTAAACAATAACAACATTCTCATTTTTTAATTAAACCAATCAAAAGCTATTTGAAATGAACCACATAACCCCTATTTAGGTTTTAACTAAAGCTCAACTGAAATGAATCAAAACCTATTTAAAACAACCACTCCCAGGGTTAACAAAATCTACTTGGTTAAACCAATCCTAACTCTTAATCCTTACACCACTATTTATGCATCGACGAAAAATTACATTCAAAAGAAGCAAATGCTAATAAAAAGATTGAAAAACAATACTTCCACGATTAAAAGAGCTTTAAAATCTTTCCTAATTTGGCAATAAAGAAAGGCAAAAATTCTAAAATATAGCCAAATTTATTGGAATTCATTAATAAATAGCAGTTCATGAATAGTCTCCATAAACCTGGCCAAAACTACAACCATTTTTTTGAAATTTGACCAATAATGTAGAAATTTCACAAAACTTCATTTAAAAGAACAAATTCAACAATCTTTATGCTAACACGTCCTTTGAAAATTTTGATGGAAAAATCAAAAGTTCATCCAAAATTTTGAAAATTCATTTGCCAAATTAGAGAAAGTGGAATGTAGGATGTTGATTAAAAAATGTTTTAACAATAGTCATTACATAGACCGAACCCACAACTAAATGAGAGAGAGAGAGAGGATAAAGACCCATCAACCAACCACCTCCTAATTTCTCTAGCTGCCTATCTGCATATTCACTTCCACATTAGAACAAACACACAACACCTGTTAATTACTCAAAGAAGCTGCATTATAAAATGACAATTATTTTTCAACTACAAATACACCAAAAGAAAATAAAAATAACAACTACCAAGCATCAATCATTCAAGAGGCTTCTTGAAAAAAATTTCAAAAAAATAAATAAGCTCTTCAAGTGACTTCAAGACATTGAAAAGAAAAGGTAAGCAGTTTTTTGCACAGTGGCTTCAATGGTCATTCCAAACAATCTTTAATTCTGCACGATGCTTGCTATAGAAAAAAAGAAAGTGGGCCTTTTTCATAATTTAACTTGTGTAAAAAATGGAAATAAAAAACTAATGTAGTTTACAATTCCACACATATCTCTATTCTCTTAGGTTTACAGGAGTGATCAAGTTAAGGCTATACCCAGTAATGCTCCCACACATTAATCCCAACCCTAATTAACAACTCTAATTCAAATATATGTTTCTCCCTACAAAACAATCCGATGACGTAGATTATTCCATATGACTCATTCTTAAGCTCAAAATTTCAACAAGATACAATTAGCAAAAATACTCTCTTTTTATAGATGCATAAACAATAGAATCAACAAAAAAATGAACTTATCAAAATAGATCTACCAAAGAAACATCATATATTTGTTATCAACAAAAAAAAAAAAACTTCACATTGACATAGTTTGTCGGATTGTCTAATTTGTTTCTCTGTTGGTGAAAGATATTTGGTCATATACGAAGCCATGCACCTCTAAAATGAAAGTTTTTTTGAGTTTAAATTACTTATCATTGCTTAGCACAAAATTGTAACTCCATGATAATAAGCATGAGCATGTGAGATTATTAATGCTCTTGGACGTGAGATTATTAACGGTGGGATGGATTGTTTGGGTGGAAAAATTTTAAGATGTTGAGTACCAAACCAAATTCACTATTACTATTAACATGTAGTTATAAAAAATTCCACATTATCATTTTTTATTGGTTTTGCTATAAATTCAGTTGGACTCCATAGTGTAATAAACTTTGATTCATTCCTTGGACATATACCATATTAGGTTCAAGATTTTAAAGCCATTTCAATTCAAGCAAAAAAAGATGTAATTTCAAATCCAATTCATACAAAACCAGCATTCAAAATAACAAATAAAACCTATGCGCATCAAATCCAAATTTCTTACAAAACCCACATTCAAACCTAATCAAATCGAATTCAAATAGTTCACAAAATTTCAATTCAATTCGATTACATATCCAATTCGAATCGAACATAAAGTTCACAAATCTGATTACATATCTAATACGCATCAAATTAAAATTTCTTACAAACATTGCATTCAAAAATAGTATAATCAAACCAAGTTAAAAAAATAGCATAATCAAACTAATAAAACTTAATTAAAATTAAAATCCAATTTGTCCGATGTGTGAGTGGGTTTTTTTCGGTGGGTTGGGCAGAGAGGGAAGAGTATGTGTGTGGATTGTGTTGTGTGTGTATGTGTCTGTATATTGTAATGTGTGTGCATGTCTATATATTGTAATGTGTGTGCGTGCGTGCGCGTGTGTGTATATGAGTTTGTGTGATGGGTTTTTTTTAGGGGTTGGATTGCTCATAGAGGAATAGGGTTGTGTGTGTGGGTTTTTTTCAGTGGGTTGGGTAGAGGAGGGGAGAGAGTGTGTGTATTTATGAAGTTACAGGGTATGACTTGAGGATTTTCAGTTTTTGGCATCAAAATATCAGGGTCGATTGTATTATATGCCTCTTTTGTATATTTGAACATAGAATCAATATAATTTTTTTTTGGGCCAAAGATTTGTGTGAATTTTTTTGGCATCAAAATATCAGAGCTCTATTGGACATATTAGAGAATTTGCTTGCGTGTGTGTGTGAATTTTTTTAGGTGGGGTTTCAGTGGGTTGGGCAAAGATGGAAGAGAGTGAGTATTTTGGGTCTTGGGGGTGGGTTCAGCAAGAAAATAAGGGGAGTTTTGGGAGAGGGGGTGCACAGAGGTTCAGTGGGATGGGCAAAGATAGAAGAGAGTGTGTGTATTTTAGGTCTTGGCGGTGGGTTTAGCAAGCAAAGAAGGGGAGTTTTGGGGGAAGGGGTGCACAAAGTTTCAGTGGGTTGGGCAAAGATGGAAGAGAGTGTGTGTATTTTGGGTCTTGGGGGTGGTTTTAGCAAGCAAAAAAGGGGAGTTTTGGGGGAGGGAGTGTGCAGAGGGGGGAGAAGGGGGAGGGGTGTGGTCTGTGCATAAGGTGGGCTTTGTTTTGGGGGGGGGGGGGTAAGGGGAGGGAGGGGATTGCATGAGAGATTTGATAGAGAGTGAAATACCTGTGGCTGTAGCGGTGGCGGTGATGATGGTTTTGACGGGGGATAAGAGAGAGAGATAGAGAGAGAAAAGAGAGGAGTGAAAAAAAAACAGGTGATGGAAGAGGGCTGTGTGGTCCAGTTGCCTTGTCGTCTCTCTGATAGTGGTTATGATGCCTGTGAGGTGAGGGAGGAAGGGATGGTTCTGGGGGAAAATATGTTGGGTATAAAGATTCAACTTCTCTTCTATTTTATTAAATAGAGTTTTATATAAATATTAAAAAAATTAAGTGATTATTTAAAGAAATTTAGATATAATTTGTTAAAATTTAATTAATTAAGTTATTTGGATAAGATTGTAAATGGATTCAAATATGGACCATGAAAATAAAATCCATCGATTCGGATCAGACTTTTGAAACCGTATTTGGGTTCGGATTAGTCAGAATCTAATCCAAACCCAATCCGTTGACAAACATAATCTTAAGTATGCTATTTTTATAGCTATCATAATTTTAATTTAATTAATATTTTTTATTTTTCAATGTATGACTGGTTCGACCGGTTAATCCAACAGTTGAAATAGTAACTCGTTGTCTCGCTCTCTTTGTCGGGTTGTTGTCCAGGCCGGGGGTCATGAGTAATGATGACTTCCAATTGTCCCCTAAAAGTTTAGATTTGGGCCTGAAAAGATAAAGTCTCTTTCTGGTAGTCAGGCCCAGTGGAACTCCGGTCGACGGACTGTCGGTTTGTTCTTCCGTGGCAGCTATCACTCATGTCCATGAGCTTTATTGTTTTCTTAATATCCCATCAATGTCAATTTACAACGCCTCCTCTGTTGCCATGGCCAGCAAGAATCACTGTTCAATTTTCTGTAAAAATTGAAATTTTAGGTCATTTTAAAGATATTTCTATGTTCTCATGCTCAATAAAAGTAAACCTGGAGCATTGATTTTCTGTTGTGTGCATATGTAGGATATAGTTCTCATGTAAAACCCTAATTTCACACACATAAATATACACTTTATTGTGAATTGGTTGGTGTAATGTGCATTTGTTATTTTTATGTATTTCGAATTTTTTTGGCTTGATTTAACGCTACAATCCTTTGACTGATTTCTATGTAACAGTTGCAGTTAATTCATCGCTCCCAGGCCATGACCACATACTTAGTTTATGTTTAGTCTCTATTATTTTTACTTCTTGCTACATTGTATGTTTGATCAAGAAAGTGAAACATCATGTTTTATGGAGAGGGTTGGGAGGAAACTATGGGAAACATATGTGTACATATATGGGGTTTGAAATCTGACTTTCTATTTCAGTCCAAAGAGAAAACCACCAAGGAAATTTTCCAAGAAATAAAAAACACCTCTCTATCAGCTCTGTATTTCCAATGCATTTGTCACTATGTGTCCATGAATGGATTGCCGCATCGTGTTTTGTGGAGCTTTAGTTCCTTTCCTTCCCCTTTTTAAATCTCTTCTTTCTGATTTGGTTCAGGCAAGCAAACGGTTATTGTTATCAAATTGTTTTCTCCAGATCAAAAATAAAAGAAATCAGATGTTTGATTATCTTTTGATGGAAGATTAAACTCCTGCTCAGTATAGATGCTTGTGAGGTTTTTAAGTATCAGCTGCTGCTGGATATCCTCCGTTCAAGATGTCTTCATGTTCAACTGCTGTATCAGCTGAAGTTGGGGACTTCAATCATCCAAATGTTCTACCCGCCGAGGCAAGCTTGTCCAAAAGCAGTGAAACTCCCTTGGAACATAAGAATGATGAGAAAGAGGATGAGGATGAGAACAAGGATGAGGATGAGGATGTAGATTTCCAACCTTTTCTGAAAGAAACTCCTTCTCTTGAAGCTTCTTCAAGCCTGAGCTCTGAAATTGAAGGTTTGGATGCTGATGTTGCTGACAGTGGGAAAAACACTTGTGCAGCATTAGTAAATAATTCAATGTCAAAGCCATCTGATTCAGTTCAAGACTATGCTGTTGGAGATTCTGAGCATGGCGAGGAGATTGTGATGCAGACCACAATTTCTTCCGAAGGGGCATGTGAAAAAGTCTCAGAAAACACTTCTTCCACAAAGCTTATTGAGAGAAGGCCAGTTTTGATTTCTCAACTTGAAGAAGAAACATGTATTGAAAAAAATGGTTCAAGCAGCAGAACAGATGTTGTTAATGATGTGATCGGACAGGTTGACAATACTGCACATTCTAGGAAGCTTAACATGCATACAGATGCTGAAGATGCAATCTGTATGCGCACTAGAGCTCGCTATTCACTTGCCAGTTTTACACTTGACGAACTTGAAACTTTTCTTCAAGAAACAGACGACGATGATGACCTTCAAAAGGTTGATGATGAAGAAGAGTACAGGAAATTTCTTGCAGCTGTTTTGCAAGGTGGAGATGGCAGCTGTCAGATTTTACAAGACAATGAAAATGTTGATGAGGAAGATGAAGACAATGATGCAGACTTTGAGCTAGAAATTGAAGAGGCGCTTGAGAGTGACCTTGATGAAAATACCAGGGATAAGACCCATGAACAGGATTATGAGGCAGTTGGTCGACGGCCGAAGACCAGACGAAATAGGCGCCAGAAAGATTCTGTTAAGCACAAGAAAAAGCTGTTGGGGCAGTTGAATAGGCCATTACGCCCCCTCTTACCTATTGCCCCAGCTCCATCTTTCAAGGTTTTTGATGGGAAAAGTTTGATGCCTAAGAATGCTCGACAATGTCTGCTTTCCTCTGCAAATAATGGCTCTGTAAATGGGTTTAGTCCTCATCAAATAGGCCAGTTACATGGTTTAATACATGAGCATGTGCAACTTCTTATTCAGGTTTTTTCTGTATGTGTTCTTGAGCCTGCTCGACAGCGTATTGCGTCCGAACTTCGGGGATTGATTTCAGAGATGCTTCATACACGTGATCAAGTATTATCATGGAGAAGGGTACCATATCCCAGTTTTTGTTTTTGTGGTCCACACATTCATCCATCAGTGTCAGATGGATATCCAAAAAATTTGCCTGCACAGGGTACCTTTGAATCGTCTTCAAGTTTTGATCCACAGAGAGAGTGCTCTTCGGTAAATAATATGTTGCCCCTTTATAATATCATATCCCCTTCTAAAGGAAGACATGAATGTTTTTCTCATGGGCAGGTGGGTCGCTTTCCAACTACTGAAGGCTCCTTCTGGATGCCTTATATAAGTGGTCCTATACTATCTGTGCTGGATGTAGCTCCACTTGCATTAGTTGGCAGCTACATAGATGATGTTTCTACTGGTATGTCATATAGAAGGAATTAATTTTGTCTTAAGTTTTCGCAAATTATTACTTTTTTGGTGCTATGATCTTTATATGCTTTAGTATTGACGTGGAAACAGCTGTGCAAGATTATCAGTGCCGATATCTGGAAGTTAGTGGTGATAATCGCTTTCAAAGGGAACCATTGTTTCCCCTTCATAGTTTTCATTCTTCAGAAGAAGCTAATGGTCAAGTTTCTAGAGGAATTGTCCCTCCAGCTTCCAAGATGGTGCTTTCTTCTTCTGCAAGTGATCAAATGCCTAGGAAGACAATGGCTGCTGCACTTGTTGAAAGGGCCAAAAAGCAATCAGTTGCTCTTGTTCCAAAGGAAATTGCTAAGTTAGCCCATAGATTTTTTCCGCTGTTTAATCCAGCCCTATATCCACATAAGCCACCCCCTTCACCTGTAGCAAATCGGGTGCTTTTCACCGACGCAGAGGATGAGTAAGTTGTATGCTTTCTTTTATTTTTGAATGTTGGCATTATCTATTTCTTATCAAATGGCTGCTTTACTGGTTATTCTTGTTGCCAATATGATTTCCGAACACTTGGCTGCATGTTGTAACAGTGGTAAAAAAGCAGAAATGAAGTTGATAGTTATGTTTAACAGTAGACTTCAATGACTGCAATTATAACTTGCGTTCTGAATTGAAAAGGACCATTTTAGTACAGATCTACCATTGCACCTAAGGATAGGCTCTAACTTACCTATCTCTCCCTTTTTTTTTAATTCTAATAGGCATACATTAATTGATGTGGCACAAACTTTCACCCTCAGAGACTTGACTATCACCTTAACTGAATAAATAACCGGGCAAACAAACAATTCAGCCTTGTCCCTTCTCTTCTGAAACTCTGCTGTGATTTTAGGTTAGAACCCTCCAACCCCAAACCAGCTAACCATGAATCAGCTGTTCATAAAGCTCAAATACTAGTTTGGAAGGAGTTGCAATTCCTATGTAGGACAAGCTCTATCCAAGGCACTTACACTTCGTGACTAATGTCCATCAGTTTTCTATCATTTTTCATTCATTGAGTCACCTTCTGTCAAGAGATATCACAAAGGAAATTATGCAAAGTTTGATTAGCAGCAATAAAACTTTGTATTTTTGAGGTGCTTTTGATTTTGAAGCATGGAAGTTTACTTGTTTCAACTTTGGATTGTGTTTCAGGTTATTAGCAATGGGGTTGATGGAGTACAATACAGACTGGAAGGCCATTCAGCAGCGCTTTCTTCCTTGCAAATCTAAGCATCAGGTATTTTCTTTTCCTAAACTCGGTGGTGCACATACTATGTTACTTTTTTTAACAAAATGTAATTGATTACCTTTGGCATGTCTGATAAATTGCATCAAACAAAGTAGTTAGGGCTTCATGGCGACTTTTGTTCTGAAAGAAAGCAAAGAACCAACCTTTTAAATGTTGTTTGCACATGGCTCTGTGAAAGTCATGAAAACATGGAAATATGGCATAATATATTTAGCATTAGAGTGGTAATTTAAATGCTACGTGTTGATTGTGTTACAGATATTTGTCAGGCAGAAGAATCGTTCATCTTCTAAAGCACCGGAAAATCCAATAAAGGTATGTAATTGTGGTTATAATACTAGACCGAAAAAAATTATCTCCATTTATTTGCATCCGTTCTGGTTGATATTTACTGGATCTGATTTGTTGATTAATTGCACGGCTTATGTTCTGGTTCCATCTCTTTCCCTCCTGTAGAGTTGGAATATTTTCATGGGACAAAGTAACTTCATTGTAATTGCCACTTGGTAGTCAATTTACTAAAATGGTTGATTTATTTGCTTTTGCATGTCTAACGACTCTTTAACTCACCTTGAACTGGATGTAGAGCAGTCCATAAAATCACAGTGAATGATCTGAAGAAATTTCAGGGTACTGGAATGCTTAAAATATCAATCGATTCCATGATTTGGTGAACTTTTATTTCCCAAAAAGGATGATTAAAATCATATGCATGTGCAGTATAAAAGGTTACATCAAGAAAGAGAAATTCCTAAGTAACTTGCTCTCTAAATAATCCTTAAAACAATCAATAGAATGTGCCTCTTTACCTGAAACCCACAGTAACGAACTCCTCAAACATAAATCTGTTCGGCTTACACCTAAATCTTCACCTCACACCTCATTAAACTACCCTATTCCTTTCCTTCCACATATGCTAGCTTTCTCTGCAACAGTTCCAAGATTGTAATAACTCAACCACCATGAATCTTGTAATTACCCACATTGTGAACCAAAAAATAAATAAATTCCACACTTCTTAATGTAAATGATGCAACAACAAAGTTTGGTTTTCTCCGTAGGTGCGTTGCACATACTGCACCATTGGGTCAAATTTATTGCATGAGATGGTCTACCCATTCTTTGGATTGAGAAACAGGTCCCCCAAGTTTGCAGCTGCGACCTGGATTTGCATCTCTTACAGGCACTTGAAAAAGCTCGCTATGCATGAATTTGGAAGTTTAATAATGTTGTTGCATCATGCAGGCAGTTCGGAGGATGAAAAATTCTCCCTTGACTGACAAAGAGAAAGCCCGTATCGAAGAGGTAATCTATTTTGGATTCTCACGGACTAATTTTCTCGCAACTTGATGTGACGCATAGTCCCCTCATTAATTTATATAACCTGAATCATTCAGGGGTTGAAGGTTTTTAAACTTGACTGGATGTCCGTATGGAAGTTTGTTGTCCCTTATAGAGATCCTTCTTTGCTACCCCGGCAGTGGCGCATTGCTACTGGAACTCAAAAGTCATACAAAATGGATGCTGATAAAAAGGTGAAGCGGCGATTATATGAATCAAAAAGAAGAAAGAGCAAACCTGCAGCTGCGAGTTGGCATACGTCATCTGGAAAAGAGGTACAGGACATCTGGAAGCAAGTGATCTGCTAGCCCTTATATCATATTTCCTTATGAATGCCTCGTATGAAGTGTTATAACAAATGACTGGAAGGCAGACATGCACAGCGTTCTTACCTCGTTGCTTTTTCTCCGAATTATGCATTCAAATATTTCTTGCTATTTCTTTTATCTTTAACCTGTTTGAACCCATCTAACATCTTCAAGTGGCTGCATTTTTTAAAATGATGTTTCAAGATAGACAAAACAAGCAAGTACTAGTCCTTGCATAGTATAGATGAGCGCATGTGTGCGGAGACATGTTCGTCTCACAGCCCTTAATTTTTCAAAAATTATGTTTGTGCGTGGAACTTTAAACTACCCACGCTTTGCCTAGCTTGGCTGACCTTTGCATAGCCTAAGTAGACTTATGCTTGGCTTGTCCCTTCCTATTCTCGATTGTGGTAGTACTGTAGTGGTGCTCAATGTACTGTACTGGGAAGTCCATAAGTCTGATTTTTGGAGAAAAAATAATTTAATCCAACTTTAAGACTAATAACAATGGTGGTTTGTTTAAAATGTATTGATTATGTATTCATGCATGAAGGTTATCAATTTCTATGAGGCATCAGCTCTTGACTAGTGGCTTGAGCTTTGCTTATGATCCCTTGAATCATGAGCTTTTATGCTTTGGCTTGTTGGCCATGGGATGAGGGCTGTTTTTGTGGACTATGGGTTAGCCTTACTTTGAATTCTTTAATTATCGCAGGACTACAGTACTGATAATGCTGGTGAAGAAAATAATAGTGCAGATGACTGCATGGATAAGGAAGACGAAGCCTATGTTCATGAGGCGTTTTTTGCAGATTGGAGACCTGGTAACTCCAGCGTTTCTCTGAAACATCCTGACTCAGGCTGGGGAGAAAAAAATCCACCCACTGTTCTACATTCAGTAGAAAATTCTCTTGTCAGGGAACAAATGAATAGTGGGTGTGGAATCTCTCAACCTCAAATTGGTCAGGAGCTTCCATCTGCTTTCAGGTACTCCAAGTATCTGTTTGCTTTATCTCATTTTATTCATGCTAGCATTGTAGATCTTTTCTTGAGCTGAATCAACCTGTTTTTGTTTTAACTATAAGGTCCTCCAACTCCGAAGTATGTGTTCGACCAAATCGAGCTCGTAGTGCTAACAATGCCTTCCTAGTCAAATTAGCTCCGGATTTGCCGCCTCTAAATCTTCCACCATCAGTTCGTGTAATGTCCCAGTCAGCTTTTAAAACCTATCAAGGTGGAGCATTTACTAAGGTATCTGATACTGAGGCTTGTAGTGGCATTCCTGGCACAGAAAATATAGTTCCAAACCCTGCGTCTGTTGTGAAGTCAGGGACCAATTATCCAGAAAAGGCTGTACAAAATAGGAATAATCTGCTGAAATCAAGTATTAGCAATCAAGGTTCTGGAGTCCTCAGGGATAAATGTTTTTCAGAAGAAAAAGATGGGTCAGGTCTTCAGATGCATCCTTTATTGTTCCAGGCCCCGGAAGATGGTTGTCTGCCATATTACCCATCAAACAGCAGTACTAGTAATCCTTGTCCTTTCAATTTCTTCCCGGGGAACCAGCCCCATTTGAATCTGAGTCTCTTTCGTAATCCTCACCAAGTAAGCAACACCGCTAAATTTTTTGACAAGTCTTTGAAGTCTAAGGTAACTGCTACCTCCTCAGCACTTGGTTTTGATTTCCATCCACTTCTGCAAAGAACCGACAATGTAAATTGTGACTCAGTAGCCCTACACTCAACTGCCCAGCCATCTGTTACTTCAGAACCATTAAGGGGCATAGGTGCTCCATTTCAGAATCCATTTGATGCTTTCCTGGCTAAGTCACACATCAACAGTCGTCCAAGTGCTACATGTGCTAAACTTTCTAGTCCTAATAGAGAGAGTGAGGAACCTGACTTGGACGTTCAACTGAGTTGCAAATATAGTAAGCCAAAAGCTGTGGGAAGCAGAAATGCATGTGAACACAATCCAGTGGTGTCAATAATTAGTGTTTCAGAAGCTGGAAACTCAGAATTTGAAAAAAACACAACAAATTCATTGGATCACTGCAGTTCATATGTGCCAACAGCTTCTACTTCAAAGGGACTCGGTCAGAATCTTGATTCTGGTGCCCATGCATCTGTCAAATCCAGCAATGGGAGAAATGAAAACAATGTCGATATTGTAGGTGACTTGTCTCTTCCAGAAATCGTGATGGAACAGGAAGAGTTAAGTGATTCTGATGAAGAAATTGGAGAAAATGTAGAGTTTGAGTGTGAAGAGATGGCTGACTCTGAGGGAGAAGAGGGATCTGATTCTGAACAGAACCTCAACATACAAAATAAGGTACCTTGTGCATATCTTTTTGTTTGTATTTAACTGCTTGAGTCCTTAGAGGCATAAGTCATTCTCTGGGGATATTATGTTATTAAATTTCTTCTTCCTGCTTCAACTATATTCTTTTACATTAACAATGATGAAACCCATCATACTGCTTTCTTTAAGAAATATAGCAGTTCAGAAGTTTTGAAATTTGGTTTATGCTCAAATGTATGCGCCGTTATAGCAAATCCAGCTGATTCAAGTTTTAAAGAAGGCCACATTCTATTTAATGATTGAACTCTCTTAACATTTTACTAATGTGCTGCTTATTTAAATCTGGAGAAAAAAACGCTCTTATTTTCAATTTCTGGGAATTTCCCTATCGTCTAATTCTAGGGTTTCTGATTGATTGCACCAATGTTTGTGATTGTTGGATGTGTTCTTCAATGGCAAGGTTTGGCTCATATGTTATGTTAATTCTCACATGTTTGTATCTCAGATTTTCAGATTTTTTGATTTGTTTGTATGTGAGTTTTGTCTACCCCAAAAAAGTTGAGCTTAGTTTTTATCTCATGATTTCTATGGTACCTCATCTCTAATTTGGTACGCAATCTGAATCTTGTTTTTCAATGGGCCAGCTATAACTTATTCTGTCCATGTTTTACATTTTTGTTATTTGCTTGCTATTAGGCTGCAAAAGTTGCCACAGATGTAGATATCAATCATTCACAATGTGAACCAAGTACGTATGTCACTTCGGAAGGCAACGCCTGTGGCCCCTCAGAAGGCAGCACAATTAAGTTGGGTTTGACTGACCAAGAGGAGGAGAATAACCCGTGGAGTTCTTTATGCTTGGATCTGAATTCATGCCCTCCAGGTTCTCTACCTACAAAGCCTAACCTTGCAATGCATAGATATTGTTCTGCTGGCCAACTCAAGGCTCCGGCTCATTCCAATCGATGTTGCACAAATACACTACAAAGTACAAAACATGGTACACTGCAGAAGCATGCTGTAAGCACACCACAACCGCCCTGTCTCGATTCTGTTACTGTTGCTTCATTGAGGAAACCACGAAAACGTGCATGCATAACTGATTCTAGTGTATGCACTGGTCGAGCCAAAAGGAGGGATTTGAATGTGAATACTGACACAACTGAAGAAAGCTCGAACCGTGATAAAAATGATGAATCTGGTTAATTGTAGCTTTGTTTGTGCATATGTTAGGTTTAGTTGATGGCCTTAAATTGGTTGTTGGATGTGCTGTGTTGCATGTCAGCAGCCCGAGTAGAATATGAGATGGTGGCATCAAATCTCAGGTAGCCAAGTAGGTGGAAAAAAAAAAGCAATCTGTTGTCAACTTTCCCAGCTACTAACAAGGCTTCAAAGGGAATGTGTGCCTTTTTGTGTATCTGCTGTTGATATAATTGTATAGATTAATGCCTTTAATGAAGCTTTTGTGATGTCCAACTCTCTATATTTGAGTTGGTCAACTGTTCTCCACCCGAGCTTACAATTTTACTGCTTTCTGATTGTAATCAAGATTAAAGATCAAGTTCGGACATGCCACTTGTGCGTTATTGTCAGTCAGGTGACAAGTACATAGTAATCGGACAAGCTGCAGTTTTTAGCTTTACATAATTCAATCCAATATCTATTATTTTGATCTGCTAAATAATTTTGATAAGTTCAATCAGTTGATTTGAATTATTTGCTAATTTTTATTTCATATTTTTATGACAAGACCAATATCTCTAATCGTCTTTATTCTTATTCTCATTCCTTCTCTTATGTCAATAACTAGAAAGAAAAATGAGGGGAATGTCAACGCATCTAGGAAAAAACGATTAATCTCTATCAATATACCTGCTAAAGACCTGAATCATATATTATCTATTATTGGTGCCACGGATAAATATGTTTTTAGGTCTCACATTGAAAACCCTTCTTCTTTTATTATAATACATAATGTAGTAAATATATGATTAGATGCATATGTAGTTAAAAATCATTTATAGTTGTACTTGGAATCCTTAATTCAAATTGAAATATACAATAGTCCGGTAAATAAGATTTTTCTTTCCTCAAAAAAAGAAAAAAAAAATACATATCCTTCTTTCCCAGCATTCTCTAAAATATTCATTTATTTTTTGATGGATTCTGTTCCGAATTTCATACGTGTATAAGTTTTTAACTTTTATTATTATTGTATGTTTTATGTTAAATGAGACAAAAAAAAAAGATGAAATTGTTAGATAAATTGGATATATAGAATTTAAAAAAAATACCAAATTATATGACATTACAATAATACTATTATGATAATGTTATATTATTTTATTTATATTGTTTATCTCATTCTTTGATGAGTTTAGCATTATTATAATTTTAAGGAATTTGATAAAAAATAGAGATCAAATGATGTGACATTATAAGATAAATTTAAATTTTAAATGTATAGAATTGAAACTAACAATATTATTATATTATTTGATCTCTATTTCCAGTCTCCTTTGTTGGTTGATCTAATATTACTCCATTTATTTTGAATCTAAAATTTTTAACTGCAATTTTAATTAAATCCCAAATTTTTTTACAAAAATATGTAAAAATAAGAATAGTGTCATAATAATAAGAGTCAAAAATAGAAATTAAATGACGTGATGCTATATGACAAATTTGAATTTTAAATATGCAAAATTGAAACTAACAATAATATTTCGATAATATTTTATCATTTAATCTTTATTTTTGGTTTATCTAACATTACTCGATTTATTTTAAATCCCAAATTTTTTTGAACAGAGATTTTAATTAAATCCCAATTTTTTTTTTTTGGGTCGGTAATTAAATCCCAAGTCAAAAGTCAAACCAGTTTCTTTGATACATATGCTCGTTAGCACTTGGGGGGAACGTGCACATCTTATAAATCCGTTCCCCATGATCTCAATGTCCCTCGCAACTGGACTGTTCCAAATTTCTCACCCTCCACTGCCCACTGGTAACTCCTCCCTCTCTTTCTCTCTCTCTCTCTCTCTCTCACACACACACACACACACACACATTTACGTATATGAGACACTTGAATTCTTCGAATGTTTCCTATAAACCCTAGCTCAATCTTATCCGCATCAAAACCCCCATTCCTCTCGCTTCCCATTCTCTCTCTTCGTAACTACTCCACCACCACCGTCCTTTGCCGAGCCGCTGCCGATTCTCCTGCCGGTCCCTCATTTCCTCGCTGGTGGTTTAACTTGCCGATTACCGTGGACGCCGCCTTTAGCAGCGGCGTCATTGGCCAAAGCTCCGACGGTTCCCCCGCCGCTGAGAGACGAATTGCGAATAACAAGAATGGTAAAATCAATGCAAGAGAGAAGAAGTGGTCGCGTGACCGAGAGAGCTACTTGGCTGACGATGCTGACGCTCTTCCACTTCCAATGACTTACCCTGACTCATCTCCGGTGTCGGCTGATGAGATCGACCGGCGTCTCCGTTGTGACCCCCAAGTTGAGGTTTAAATTTTTAATTTTCATTTTTCTCTCTAATCTCTCATTACCTGCTTGGTTGCCGAGAAAATTTGGGAAGAAGAGCAAAGGAATTTTTTTTTCCTGATTTGTTATCATAACTTGGTTTTTGATTGTTTCTTGTGCTATCGATGGGAATTGTAGGATTGTAAGGAAGTGGTGTATGAATGGACTGGAAAGTGTCGGAGTTGCCAAGGGACTGGATTTGTCAGTTATTACAATAAAAGAGGGAAGGAAACTGTTTGCAAATGCATACCCTGCCTTGGAATTGGTTATCTTTCCTCCTCCGTCATTATATGTTCATAATCTGCCTGTATTTTATCATATCCATTCTGCTATTTTCGTCCCACCTAATGCACATAAGCTAATAACAGCCTTTACTTTCATTTTCCATGTTTTATAGAACTTGCACTGAGAGAGTTCAGTTAAGAGAGTCGAGAGCTCAAAAACTCATTAGAATATCCATTTCAGTCGAGTTTTTTCATTCTAGGTGCAAAAGTAGGAGAAATCACATGCTATTTTCATATATTTATTTGTATGACGATATTTTTTTTTTACGGTTGGAACAATGAAATTAATGTGCTTCTACTGAGAGAGTTCAGTCAAGAGAGTCAAGAGCTCAAAAACTCATTAGAATATCCATTTCAGTTGATTTTTTCATTCTAGGTGCAAAAGTAGCAGAAATCACATGCTATTTTCATATATTTATTTGTATGACGATATCTTTTTTTTTTTTTTACGGTTGGAATAATGAAATTAATGTGCTTCTACTCGAGTATCTTTAGTGAAGCACCTTGTTTTTTAGTTATTTTTTCACCTAAATAAGTTGTTTCTATTCATCTATTGTGACATAGAAAATTAGAATCCATAGCCATAGGGGACAAATGTTGTACTGCCATCTTTTATCAACTTTGGACCATCTTCTTTAGCTACCCAATATGGTCCTCTCTCTCTCTCTCCCCCCCCCCCCCACAACCCTTTTTCCCCTTTTCTATTACCCATCTAGCTTGCCTTCTTTCAATTATCATTTTTTGTTTTGTTAAATAACCATCTACTCCAAAATTTTAAGTTGTTAGAGATGATGTAACTTAAGTATTCCGCTTACGAGCTTGCTTGACTTTGAGCCTAGCACATGAATATGGGTGACAATGAGATTCGAATACAAGACTTCTTTCTTTGATACCATGAAGAATTTTAGAGTATGAGAGAGATTGGAGATAGAATAATGATAGAAAAATGGGACACAAAGAATAACGTGGTTAAACAAAGAGTACCTACATGCACAGATCAAATGTCCCAAAGACTACATCGATGTATTAAACATTGGTGATTGTATACTAGTATTTCAAGTTTCAACCCTATTTATAAGGTGAGAAAATACACTAGATAAAGATAAAATATCACCCATGCTTATCATCATCCTTATCCGAATTCTATGGAGATTGATAGATTTCAGTAGATCTTATCATATCTCTAATATGTTTGAGCCCGTCTGGGCCTACATCACATTTAGGGCTTGCCTACTCATAAATCACTTAAACCTGATGCAGGCAGTATTGTTTCTCGAGGCGTCTGGTTGTAGGCTAGCTAGCATCTTACCCATAATCCCTATTCTTACTACGTGTACTTAATGACATCCTGACTTCTAAATATACTCTATTACTAGTAACTTTTGAAATTGAATTTTCAGTCATGGTATGGGTCTCTTGTTTATATTTCATGAACAAAGGAACCCATTTCTGGTTAAAACATTAAGATCAACATACTGAAGGAGGGAGTAGGGAATGATGGCACTCAGCTTAGAAGTACAAATTTCCAACCACTACTAGTACTAACCATAACTTCATAAACCTTCAAGATATACAAGAAATAATATTATGATTTTCAAACAACTGTATATGTGATGATATATTGGTTTTTTTCTGCTGAATACTTATTTTCAACACCACCAAAAGTGCACATGGGGCAGAGTTCCCATCGCAGAACTGTTCTATAACGAGTAGTACAGTGTCCTTGATTATTTTCCAACATTGTGGAAGGATATAGACAACTATTGCTTAACAATAACATGTTTTCAATCCTCTTATCTTCATTTAAACTTGATGTGTTGTGTGTGCAGTTATCTCTTCCTTTTGAGGGTTATGAAAACTTGTTCTTTTACTTTTCTTAACTGATGTCATTATTCTTTAATCGGATGAATATATTCTAGATGGCCAGTGCAATGGCACAAGTGTTACATGATATGATATTTCTTTTCTCCATGGCCGTTATGCTGCTATGGTCTTGGCAGAGATTGAAGCACTGGTTTCCAATTCAAAAGATTCTAGTTACGCTTACACGATGTAGTGGCCTATGGCAGTCTAAGTAATCATTCTCAAAGGGAAAATAAGAGGCAAGAGAAAAAGTTTGATTGTGATGTGGCAGTATCTGATAGATATACTTCTCTGTAAAGGTGAGTCCTCGATCTGCTTTGTGGAGATTTTAGATTTTCCACATCAATAGGAGGTATGGTTGGTGTTTTGAAACTGACATGCAGCTTAAGGTTTGATGCACCTGATTAAAGAATGTGTGGAAGGTTGTGAGATGTTATAAGCGAAGTTCTGACAGTCGACAATTATTTGCTTCAGAATGGAAATTTATGGACGTTCATGAAATTCTTGACCTAGATTTTGTGTGATGAAATTCTTTGAAGTGTCTTTCTTTCTTTGTTCGGTTATTTGTATAATAAGGCTTGAGTAAGCTTTATTGTGTTTGTTTAGAGAGCCTTCAGTCAGATTGTGTACATATTTGATCCGATTCCAAAATCTACATATTTGGTGTCATTATTTAGTTCACGCAAAACCCAGAATTTAAAATATATTCAATCAAATTCAGACATTCTCTACCGAGTGTACCAATTCACGTGTCTCCTCTGTTTGTCCTGGTGGGTGTTTGCAGAGATTTTCTTTTGCTCCGACTGTTTGATCAAATGATGAAAATATTATTTTTCATTGCATATCAGATAAACAAGTATCATGCTTGGCTAATCATTTTGTTATGAGGAAGAAAAGTAACATGAGCATATTAGTGGAAATACTTCTTGCTTTGAGTCTGGTACAGATGTTGATGCTGTAAACTCCATCACTGAATGTGACTGGGCTTCTTTCCCATTTGTTTGATCATACCTCCAATGCAAATTATCTTACATTCCCACGTCTTTGCATGTGTATTCAAAATGTTATTGGGCACAAAACACCGATTTCACTTGTTATTCTCGTCATTGCAGGATATGTGCAGAAGATAACGACACGCAGTAATATTGATGTGATGGAGGATTTGGATAATGGGAAACCGCCTTGACACAAGTAATTATGGAACATCTCTTCCAATCCAGGAATATTATTTTTGTAGCTCTGGTGAGGCAATCTGCTTCTTAATCAGTGTAGAATTGTTATAATTCTTAAGCAACCTTTCATGGGAGTTCTTGTACCTAATTCTCTTTAACTTGAACCAAAGGGAAGTTTAGTATACCCTTGTGGTTGCTCAGAATAAAGGGAATCAATTCTTTTCTTGTTTTACTTTTCCTTCCCGCAATTGTCCCCCTTTATTTGATTATCTAATCCATTGACTTAAGAATATTCTGTTGGATGGTGGCTTAGTACAAGTTTTTGATGGAATAAAGTTATTCTGCTTTATCCTTGGCATTTGAGCATCAGAATATCTTTATCTTCTAGGTTTTCATAACTATAAATCTGATTTTGCCATTCTACTATTTAAGGTGTGGTATACTATTATATCTGTCGTCTCCAAAACCTTTGCTCTATACCCGCAAAAAAAAATGTCAAATTTGAGTTTTCTAGATTTCCAGTACAACTTGTCAAAGATGAAGTTCCTTCGGAAACCATCCTGGATGTTTTCATCAATTGACAGACAAAGCTCCGGCTTATTGCCTGTTTTCCAGCCAAATATGGATGAGATGAAGTTGGTATTTGCAAAATTTGATTCCGACAAAGATGGAAAGCTCTCCAAGGGGGAGTACAAGGCCATATTACGAGCACTGGGAAAGGGGAGCACGACAAGAGAGGTAGAAAAGATATTTGAAGTTGCTGATTTGGATGGCGATGGGTTCATTGATTTCAAAGAATTTCTAGAAGTGCATAAGAGGGTAACGACAATGGACATACGGAGCGCCTTTCGGATATTTGATTTGGATGGCGATGGGAAGATAACTGTGGAGGAAGTGTTCGAGTTGTTGAAGCGTCTCGGAGAGAGGTGCAGCCTGCAAGATTGCCGGAGAATGGTGAAGGCAGTGGATGCTAACAGGGATGGTTCAATTGACATGGATGAATTCATGACCATGATGACCCAATCCATGAAGCTTTGTTAATTACTCTTTTTAAGTTTTAACACAGAACTGTATGATGTCAATCTAAGGCTCTAAGAAGCAGTGTCATGTACATGTATCTAATTTCCTTTTTTGGGTGCATACATGTATCTAATTTCCAAGAAGGTGATTAAGATTAAATATGAATCCTATTTACATTTTAAAGACAGATCTGACCGTAATGGTATCTGCTTGTTGAGATAAAGTTGTATATATCTAACCTAGTGCATGAAACTCTCAACGTGTCTGTGCACTAGGTATACCACTTTTTATAATTTTATTTACAGCATCCAACGTGTATGATTGAGCAATCGTTCAAAAAACAATGTGTTGGTAATGTTAAAAAGAGGTTCTTCCGCACAATTATCTTTTTAAAGCTATCTTCTCTTAATAAAGCAATAGATATTTCCACTTCATCATAAAACCGAAAAGGGGGTAACTATTATTGGTTATGGCGTAAGAAAGGCGATGAATAAAACCCACAAAGCTAAACATGACTTAATTAAAAGTTTTACTTTTAGTGGATTTGAGTCATAAACAAATTAGACACATTAGACTCATCAAATAAATAGGTTAACCTGAAACTGCTATACACTATACAAACTCAATACCATTAATACATTATACTTATCCAAACTTAGCAATACACGATTATATTAAGTTGATGTACTTTGATACGACATGATTTAAATATGACACGAACCCGATACGGTTGATTGACGCCTAGTCAAAATCAAGGCTAAATGGCCTGCCTGTCAAAACAAAAAATTTATTGAACTTTAGACCACAGTACTCCCCAAGCTAGTATCGCAATGGAATAGTGAATATGCTCATTTCCCTATAATGACAAAAACCTGGTTCACCTGTCCACAGAAACTAAAAACAATTTGGCAGTCTGTACTTCACAAACTAAACTGCAGATTGGAAGATAATCTAATGAATGCATAAAACGACAGTTCCAAACCATAACAAGTGCACCAGTAATCTTCAAAAGACCATTTGTAACGCCAAGAATGCTAGTGTTTGTCATCTCTATCAGTCAAAAAATCCCAACAATTGCGGACATGATCACGACAGCAGCGTCATATTAGGTCACTGTAGGCAAAAGACACTTTATGATCCTTAGAGGTGTCCTAACCAGAGTACTTGTCGATAGCAGTAAGCAATAGCAACTTCACCAGTAATCGCCACAAGAGCATTTACCATCCTTGAAATGGTGAAACCTTTTGTTGTCTCTAACTATTAATTCACGCCCCACAATCCTGGACATTATCTTGATGGCATTGTGACAGTCACCACAGACACGGAGGTTCTTGATGATCCTTAGAGGCGTCCTTGCTGGAGTACTGATCAGACCATATGCAATTGCCAAACGTTCACTGTGATAGAGTAAGGCCTGCTCCTTGGCCTCCTGATCAATGTCATGAAGAACATATCTGGTGTCGGGCACATAACCTTGCTCTTTCATCGCAGCCTTCAACTTCTCATCATCCTTATAGAGGGTTGGATTTCGAAGCTCTCCTAATCTGTTTTTACCCTCAAGCATATTAATTGCAGATTGCTTCTTGGGTGGCGGTGTGGGGATCTTATTAGCAACAGCCTTCGAGGGGTTAAGACCAATCATCAACTCCTCAGCCCGGTCTTCAAGGTCAATATCTCCATGAATTCGAGCATAATTCATCAATGCCTCCCAAATTTCCGCTGTTGGTTCAAACGGTAAATTCTCAATGAACTCCTCAGCCTCAGCAAGATGCCCAGGTTTTCCAAGAACAGAAAGAAGCCCCAAATAATGCTCCATCCCAGGATCAACTCCATACTCCGTCTTCATTGACTCAAAATGTATAAAACCCTCTTCCACAGCATCAACACTAGCACAAGCCGATAAAACAGTAAGAAAAGTTTCCTTGGTAGGCTGCAACCCCAGGCTCCTCATTTTTTCATACAATGCCAACCCATCATCACCTGATGCATTCTCTGCGTACCCATATATCATCAAATGCCAAGAATCTATGTTCCTATCTGGCATGTGATCAAAAACCCTCCGTGCATCTATCATACTCCCACACTTCGAGTACATGTTGATTACCTTATTGATCAACTGAAGATCACTCCTAAAAGTTGATTGCAAAAAGTAATCATGCACTTTTTTTGCATCCTCAAGTTTCTTCAAATTCCCACACAACTCAAATAGCACACCAAAACACTGAGCAGCAGCGCGTACTCCCTGATCCATCAATTCAATAACTTCCTTAACCTTACCGTCTTTACACAAACCCATTAAATCAACATTAGCAGGCGGGCCACTTGTGGATTGATTATCAACAATCTGTCCTTGATTCAGGGTCTGATTGTTCGTGTTGACCCTCTGAGCATTCTGATCTTGTGGGCTCCCCTGACTAGGATCAATACGTGGAGGAAAACCCTGATTCTGATTATTCCACTGTCCACGTTGTGGATAACTCTGACTCTGATTAGGGGTTTGAGAGAAACCCTGATTCTGAAACCCTCCCTGTTGCTGATAATTCTGACCCAAATTAGGGTTTCCACTTCGAGGGTACCCCTGATTAACATTTGCATTTACTTCAAACTGTTTGAAATTAGGGTTTTCAGGTTGTGGGTACCCCTGATTTCGACTATTCCACTGATCAACATTTCCAGGTGGCGGACAATTCGGAGTTTGATTAGGGTTTGGACGTTGAACATAGTGCTGATTTGGAAAATTAGGGTCTCCCCTTTGGGTATATCCCTGACCTGGACCGAGATTAGAATAATTCACCTGATTCGGGCTCTGAGGTTGAGAATAGTTCATGTTCATCCGATTAGAAAAGTTCTTCTGATCTTGGCGACTATTCCACTGATTATGGTTTCCATAGCTCTGGTCTTGTGAGACCCACTGGTTACTATTGTCTCTCTGATCTTGCGGAAAAACCCTAGTTGGGTCGGACGGTTGTTGTGGGGGTCTCTGGAACTCATTTGAAACGGTTGATGTGGTCAGGGTTTTGAAAGATGAAGTGGAAACTGAGGGTTTTAGGGCTAGGGATACGGTTTGGTTGTAGTCGAGATTGAAAATTGACCGAGAATAGGAGTGAAGAAAGCGTACCTTGACAGGATAAGTGAAAATGGAGGCTCGAGATCTGCGAACAGCGAGTAGAGACGCCATTTTTGCTCTGCAAATGAACACAAAAACCCTAGGCACGGGAATGATAAACCCCAATACGGTATGAGAGTAACTAAGAGGAAAGAGAGAGTGTGCTACTTTATATCGGCCAAGGTCTAGACCTGTTAGAGACAAAAAGGATGGACACGGAGTTTCTATGATAAATAGTCAAATAGATGAACTTGGCTGGCCTGTTTATTTAAAAGGTTGTCTTTGGACGAGACTTATCAATTTTTTTACTTATGTTAAATAAAAATAATATATTAATAAATTATTAATTATTAAAAAAATTGTTAAAATAATATATGTAGTTATTAATTATATCAATTTATATAAAAAAAAAATTTAATAATATTTTTTTCGTTGAATAACTGGTCAAACAAGTAGAGGTTTAAAAAGGTTATCGTGTTCAACTTTATTTGTTTATTAAAATGGTTAAACGAATTGTGTCGTGTAACTAACTTAATAAATGAATTGTATTTGATTTGAAAATTTTTACTCATTTATTTAAACGAGTCGCGTATGAATTTATGTATTATTCACACGAATCCAATTACACATAACTCGTAATTGTTTAACTCAATACAGTTGACACCTAGTCAAAATTGGGTTTTGGGTTGTGATTGGAACCTACCGTTCATGTTACATGAAATTTAGAGGTCTAAGGTTCATTAATGTTTTACACGAATTTCCTACCATAAAAAATAAATTGATTAAAGTAGTACTAAAACGAATAACTTTTTTAACTAGTATTATGTGGAGAAAATACTTATTTTTTAAATTCGTCATGGAATTATAATCTTTTTGTTAGCACAAAAATTAAGTGAATGCTTAGTTCATAAAAGATCCAAGCGTGATTGTTTTGATAAGAGAAAAAGGGATTACAATAAATTTGTATATCTAACTTCCAAACCACGTTACAGTGTTTTTAATAGTGCTCTCTATTTTAGAGAATATTTTTTATATGTTTTTAATAGTGTTCTCTAATTTAGAGAATATATTTTTAAATAAAAAATATATTTAATAAAAAAATAGAGAATAATTTTTTTTAACAACTCCAAAAGAATTCTCTATTATAGTAGAAGAATATCCTCTATAGTCAAAGTATTTAATGAATAAAAGTATACTCTATAGAGAGAGTTTAATTTTTAAATTTAGCTCTCTATTTTAAATAGTCTAAATAGAGACTTTATTAAAGATTAATTTTTAGATGTTAATTCTCTAAAATAAAGAATTGAGTGAGAATAAAAAATCTATTAAAGATACACTTATTTTTAAATAAATTGAATTAGTGGCGGTATCATGCATTGTATCGAATTTGCACACATCCCTTTCCTTTCTGTCCTCTTTCCCCTTCCCCTTTTTTTCTCCTTCTGCCATCCTCCCATTTAAAAACCTAAGTAGAAAATTATGAAAAATTATAGTGATAAAAATAATTATGAAAAGTTAGGATGATAAAACATAATTAATGGTTGATTTTTTAAAAAAAATTAAATGATTGGTAGTTAATTAGTGAGGTAGAGGCGTAGTTATATGAGAAATGCTTTAAAGTATAATTGACTTATTTTGATTGCATTATATATAATATTAGGGGCAATTTGTGCCTAAAGATACGGTGCAACTTAAGTAAAAAGTAATGGATTTGGAGGAAGAAAATTCAATGTAAATGATTTTGAGAAGAATATTGGTAGCTATTAAATCAGTCTATTTGAAACGGTTGGATGAGCTCAATAAAGTCTGTCATGTTTTTTGTTATATATATAAATATAGATAGAATAAAATTGATTAATATTTGACATAAATGTAACACAGACGTTGGATCTGTGACAGACATAAGCCTGTCAAACCTTGTGGGCTAACCGAACACAAAATTATGTTCTTAAGCCCAACAAAATGGCCCATAGAATTCTGGAATGAGCCCATGAATTCAGGCCCGTAATAGGGAACCACTAAAGAAAACACCGCAAGGGGAAGTGGCCCAACTCCCGCTAGCTGCCTCCGTTTTCCCGCCAACTCAGATAGGTTTAAATACAAACACCAGAGCCAGGGGTCCGATCAGTGAAAGGGAATGAAACGAGAGGAGAGGCTTACAACGGAGAATGACGGCGAAGCTTTTCATTCAAGTCCAAACCCAGAGATTCAAGCGATGAATTCGCTAGTGAAGACGAAGAAGATCTCAATTACCAATCGTGCAACGAAACAATCTCACGGTGAACGATCCACAGTCCGTTCAGCTCCGCCACACTAGATCGAAAATCGCAGAATGTGGCTGATCTCATGAGGTTCGTTTAGTTTCGTTTCGTATTGTTTACTCAATTATCAATTTCGTTTTAATTTATTTGGTTTATTTTCTTTAGTAACCTTGATTCTCGCCATGGGAAGCTTTTCGGCTTCAATTTTAGGGTTTCACATTCCTGCTGATGCAATAGTTGTCTAATCTGGTAGATTCAAATTCAATCCGTGTTTGTTTGTGTTTGTGTATGTGTTTGGATCTATAGATACATCGTTCACTTGCTGTCAGACAGGAATTTTCATAAACTGAAGTGGGAATTTTGGTTTTACATGAATCGGCGTGTTTAAGCTTTGAAACTTAGCAGATATCTCTCTACGTAATGTAGTTTACTCCCTCACCTTTTTTCTTGACAATGTATATGTATAAATTAATTTGTTAGTCTGAATTGAATCATCTATCCCACAGCTCATATCATACTCACATAATTTCTGGATTGATGTCAAAAAGGACTAATGTGAATTAATTTTGTTATTTATCAGGTAGAATCTTGTCCTCAAAATACGATCACTACTTCCTCGAGTTTACACAGTAACAGAAAGTGCATCTAATGTTTGAAAACCCTTTAAACCTTAGTTCTAACTAGCGGTAATACTAATAAAAACAAACTGGTTCATTGTCTCTGGTATGATTAAAGAATTGTGACCTGGGCTCCCCTAGTCCATTCTGGTTCCAATTACAAGCTGGTTGAATGTCAATGTTGCCACAGAGAAAATCATCAGAAAAGAAAGTAAGGCAGCCACTAGGATTGAAGTTTTGCTGTTCTGACCTTGTTATAATGGCTAGAAGAATCCAAACCCTTTAAATTTCGAAGTCTGTCAACTTTGATTTAGTTTGATCATCCATCAATAAATTCATTAGGTCTGAATGATAGATTATTGCACTTGACCAAAATTGAAAAAAGCTTGAAACTGAAATAATCCAATTTAGCGAAAGTTAAACAAGCCTTGCACCATAATTGAAAAGAAGTCCTAGGATTGGATGGAGACATAATTCACTGAAGGATTTTCCCTAGAACTACAGGAAAAACTTTGAACAATTTCAAAGATGGATTTTTTGCCTCTATTTCGATTGATGTATGGATAATGTTATACACATGCATATATACAAATCTAAGCTTCTCTTGAAGACGTGAATTATTGGAGACATAGATTAATCAAGCCAGCGGTTAGATTGATATTTAGGTCCCAATCTTCTCCCTGTAATTTAGGAACACTAATGGGTTGGCATAGGCCATTACTTAATTTTGACAGTCATTTATTCCTATTATAGTGTGTTGGGGATGGGGGTTACTACAAAGAATGTGACAACATTCATAGCACTTGATTAAGAAAATAAAGGAGCTTTGTTTTGATCTGACATTGCAAAACGTGCCCAGAATAAAAATTTAATAGAATATAGTAAAGGTCCTTTCATTAGCGGATAAAAACCGAACCTGCTTACAGGATGGGAGACCAGAAGTAGACAGTGCCATTAAACTAAGCTTTATTCCACTTGTTTATGAGCTTGTTCCCATGTCTATAAATTCCCTTTTAGAAGTTTTCACAGTTCATAGTGTGAGGAATCAACCAATGGTCATAATGCCAGTTGGCGATCCGCCGATATTCCCAGTGAGAAGAGGATAAACCATGTGAGAGTCAGTAGTATCATCCAAGGAAGTGGAATCCCTACACTATTCTTATGTTTTTAGTCAGATCAATGCCTAAACTACTCTCTTCTTTTGGGCAATGTCAGTCAGTAACACTTGAAGGGAGACTTATTGGTCTTTCTTTTGTAGTTGTTATCAATGAGAAAGGCTGAACCAGCACATGAGCTTTAGCTGTACCTCATATCTTTACTTACCTTTTTGTTTTGGGTTTTTTTTTTTGGGAGGGGGGGGGGGGGGGGGTTGAAAGAGCTAGGTAGCAACTTGCAAGTACCAAACGACAAGGAAAATGCAAATTGAGTAATTAGACTATGCCTAAGTAGTCATAATATATATCCAATATGTACGTAATATAAAATTTGCTGAAATCCAATGAATATATCTCTCTGATAAAATAGGTATGTTTTTAACTGGCGTGAACTTAAAATTTTCGAAGGGCTTATTCCTTTTGGTTTCCTATGTTCTGCACCACTGTGTCTTTGACTACTTTTTCCTAGTCCCCTAGCTTCCCAGTCTTAAAAAGTAGTGACTGTGATTTTGAGATTAGTTGGCACCTTGGTTTTGCAAATCAAAAGAAAAGCAATCTAGCTGCTAGCAGCAATGGGCAGATCTGGGGAGGGCCCTATTCAAATGTGAAGATCTCAGTTCTTTAGATAATTTGGTTTATCTGGATGCGAAGGAACCCACACATGATCACGTAGTGCATCTATTTTTAACTGTAGATTATTAAAATTTACTTTAATGATCCAAATCTATCTCTCCCTCTTCCCGTGTGTGTGTGTGTGAGTCCGCGTGCGCATGTGTGGGAGGATACACACACAAAAACACACAGAAAGATAGTGATATTATACTTTTTAAGTGCAGAATTAATTGAGATCATACTTCAATACTAATTTTGGTAAATCAATTGATCTTGTAGCAAAATCAAATTATCTTCTTCAAGCGAATATTTTATTTTACTTTCAACTTTCATGTGCCATCATAATTTGTAGAAATTTAAAAACAAATGTTTTTTTGTCGGTACTCGCTCCTTTCAAATTGACCTATCTTATCCTGTTGTTTATGACTTTGCAGATAGAAGTTATTCAAGATATTTTTACTTCAAAGTTCAAAGTGTGGTTATTTTTACAAGATAAAGACAACTCTTGTTTACCGGACTTTAAAATAACACAGACACGAACACACGGACCTCACTGTATAACTACCCACATCTTGCATGTGACTTCTTATGGTGGACTAGAAGGAACATATTAAAAGTCAGTGGGTGTTGTTCTGATTGCTCATATGGCATGCTTAAACATGTTCAACAACGAGCAACAAGACTTCAACTCTGCTATGGGTCCAAGAATCTCCTTCTCCAGTGACTTTGCCGATACCCAGAAACCAATCAAGCATGATAGAAGCTATAGAGAAGCACCTGTGTCGTCTGATTTTGAGTTCTCTGTCTCTAATAAAAACATGATCTCTGCAGATGAGCTGTTCTTCAAGGGGAAGTTGTTGCCTGCAAAGATAACCACCCTGAGAGATGAACTCCTTGTTGATGACGATGACTATGGGGATGTGTTGCCGAGGCGACCGAAGAATACTGGCCGATGGAAAGAAAAGTTGGGTCTGAAGAGAGCTCAAATTGTCCCCAAGAAAGCTAATACAACTGATAAGGCTTTACAAACCATAGATGAAGCAAAGAAGCTTGTGCTTGTTCCCGAGGAGGTCTATGCTAACATGACAGGTGAGATTGGCAATTTATTCCATTTCAAAAGAAAAAGACTGGTAATTTACCTAACTACTGTTTTTTAAAAAATATTTTTGCAAGTAACATCTGTTTTGCATTTTGGGACTTTTGTTTCGACCTTGGTTCGAGTTTTTACACTTTCTCCAAGTTTAATCCTATGTATAATAGCATACATATGCACACACACACACACACACACATATATATATATATATATGAAAACGTTTTATGCACATAGATCAACTTCATGGATTATTATTCAAGCATGGATTTTTTTTTTTAAAGTTGTTTGTTTGTTTAATTTTAAAAAACATTTATCAAACGATAGCTTTGGCCATTTTTGGAGCTAATTATTAGTTTTCTTTTGTTTTTTGCGCTACGTACAGGATCTAATTGCTGATCAACAAGGCAAAGGGAATGCTATTGAGAATTATCATGATTTTCGTGGAAGGAGGATTTTTGTTTTCATGCATTAGCTATTGTTGGAGACTACTGGTAATGAAGGTCCTTTGGATGAATTTAGAGACATTTGAAATTAGGACTTGTTGGTCGGTTTAACTGGTCATATTGTAATAATAACCCCAAATTTGTAATAACTTTTATTTGTAATTTTATCTAATCTACTATTGCCCAGCCATATATATCTTGTTTCTCGTTGTTTACGAAATTGCTTTACTTCATATTCCAGCAGATGGTGTTTGAACTTGAGTTTATTACGTGGCGTTTGGTAACCGCCTGTTTTAATTTTTTTTCGGTTTTGTTTTTATTTTATGGCTAAAAAAAAAATAAAAATATGTTTTGTGAATGTTTTTTTTTTTTTAACATCTCTATTTTTAAAACAAGGCTAAAATTTTTTAACAATCTACAGCTTTTTTGCTTGGGTATAAAAGACCAACTCTCTTTTACTCTTCTCTGTCGTGTCTCTCTCTCTGGATGGCCGCCGAAGCCGAAGCCGAAGCCAAGACATCGTGTCGAAGCCAATCGCTAACAACAATCTAGATTTTTTTGAGGGTCGAAGCCAATTACTAGCAACAATCTATAAATCCTTAGCAACAATCTAGATTTTTTTGAGGATGGAAGTCAATCGTTGCGAAGGAGGATCGAAGCAGAAGTCTCTCTCTGTCGTCTTTCTCTTTCGATGGTTGTGGTTGTGGTGGTGGGTTTCAGTAGTGGGGGTGGGTTTTAGTGGTTATGGGGATGAGTTTCAGCGGTTGTGGTGGTGGGTTTCAGTAGTGGGGGTGGGTTTCGGGGGAGGGTTAGGGGTGGGTTTTGGTGGGGTTTGGGTGTTGATTTTTTGGGATAATACTAACCAGATTTTTTATTTTTGTTTTTATAATTTTTTAAATATATATAAATACCAAACATGTTTTATATTTTTAAATTTTATTACAAAAAAAAAACTTAATTTTATTTTTTATACAAAAAAAAAAACATAAAAATGAAAACGCTACTAAACGCACCTTTAGTTTTCCACCAGTTGGGGTTTAAACTTGAGTTTATTAATTTTCCTATTGGTGTTTAAACTCGAGCTTATTAGTTTTCTTGGGTTCTTGTGATTGCGTGATTGCAGTATAATATTGGATAAAGTATGTTCAAAACATGCATATATTTCTTTGTGTGTTCGTCAAAAAAGAAATTAATTCTTTGACTTTAACATCTTGGAAGTAATGCACATCCAAAAATGTGGTTGTGTGTTGAAATGTCATGGAATTAATAGAAGACTCATCGTTTAGGGTTGGCGTATTTTTCTTGGAACACAATGAAGACGGAGGAAAAAGGTGTTGTGATTCTTGTCCTTCCTAGTGCCAATGTAAATGTACAGTAGGTGTGGGTAGGTTCATTAGACACATAGATTGATTATAGGAATGCATTACTCCAATGTAACTTGATTGTTGGAACAGAGGCTTAAATGTAGGAACGATAGCTTGATTGTAGGATCGGTATTATTGATCCATTGCTATATATTTACATGTATATCTCCATTGGGAAATAATAAGAAAATATTCTTCCCAATATTTGATTTCAAGTTGGTATCAGAGCCTCCGAAAGGTCCTGTTTCTTTTTTGATCGAACGCCACCATGAGTAAGTCAGACTCTGAAGCATCTGGTAACAAACTTGCTCCCATTATTATTCAATCCGAAGGTTCCTCTTTCAATGCAGGGATCTTACTCAATGAGACAAACTATGATATGTGGTCTCAAATCATAGAAATGCATATTGTTGAGAAGGAGAAACTCTCCTTCATTCATGGGAATTCACCGGTACCTACAGAGAAAGATGATGGATATGAGAGGTGGTATGCGGATAATCAAAAGGTCAAGAGGTGGTTGTTGATGTCTATGTCCCCATAAATTATGAAGTCATATCTTCGCTTACCCATTGCTCGTGATATTTGGAAAGCTCTCTCTAAAGCCTTCTATGATGGAACAGATGAGTTACAAGTCTTTGCCTTGAATCAGAAAGCTTTCTCTGCCAAACAAAGGGGCAGAGCACTTTCTGTGTATTATGGAGAATTGACCGAAAGTTTTTGTGAGTTGGATCATCGTGATAAGGTGATCATGGAGAATGCGAAAGATGTTGAATCTTATCGAAGACCAGTCCAGCGGCAAAGGGTGCATATCTTTCTTGCTGGATTAGATGGTGACTTCGAACAAATCCGTGGTGAATTTTGAGGAAGGAACAAATTCTTGAACTAGAAAAATGTTATGCGTTGATCCGCCATGAGTCCATTCGACGTACAATGATGAATGGAGAACCTGAAAACTTTGAAGCTTCAGCCATGGTGGTCCAAAATTGGTCCTTCAAAAATCAGCAGAAGAAAACAAGGTCTAGCCATCAGAAGAATGGTGCTGGAAAATCTGCCTTCAAATGCACTCATTGTGATCAAACTGGTCATACCAAAAGCAAATGCTTTGAATTTGTGGGGTATCCAGAATGGTGAGATCATAGCCGCGATTCGCGAAAGAGGAATTCCAAGAAGTCCTCTACCACTGCAGTTGTTGAAACACAGGCAAAGGATGATATTGCTGGGAAGGCCTCGGCATTGGCAGTAGCTGCAGATGATGGTAGTAACGTTTTAAATATTTCTACACCTGTTTCTAATAACGCATGGATAATTGATTTAGGTGCTACCGATCATATGACATTTGATTCTAGTCAGGTCTCACTAGTTAAACCATTCTCACAAAAATTTGTTTCCACTGCTAATGGCACTTCAACCCCTATTAGTGGGGAAGGATCATTGCTCCTCACTGATACTTTGAGTTTAGATTCTGTTTTAGTTGTTCCCTCTTTAAACTACAATCTGGTGTCAGTCTCCCAAATAACCACTGCCTTATTTTGTAGTCATTTTTTTGCCTGATTCTTGTGTGTTTAAGGACACCCGAACAAGGTAGACGATTGGTTGTGGTATTAAGTGAGGGAAGTTATACTATCTTGACTTGACGTCAAATATTTTAAACAAGTTGCGTCAAGCTTTGGCAGTAGATTGTTCTCAGGGGGAGAAGAAAACATATGATATCTGGTTATGGCATCGACGTTTGGGACATGTCTCTTTTGGTTACTTGCAGAAATTATTTCCTAATTTATATGCAAAATGTCATATTTCGAGTTTTAAGTGTGATGTTTGTGAACTTGCAAAGAGCCATCGTGTTTCATTTCCATTAAGTTTGAATAAAAGCTCAGTTCCTTTTATGGTCATACATTCTGATGTTTAGGGTCCATCCAATGTTCCTACATTGAGTGGATCTTGTTAGTTTGTTACTTTTATTGATGACTGTACAAGAGTAACTTGGGTGTGTTTAATGAAGTCCAAAGGCGAAGTGAACTTATTATTTCAACAATTTCATAAAATGATTTGTACTCAATATAACGCACAAACTTAGGTTCTTTGTAGTGACAATGGCGGAGAATACATGAGTTCTAAATTTCAGCAGTACTTGAAAGCCAATGAAATTATTCACCAAACTACTTGTCCCCATACACCCCAACAGAATGGGGTAGCTGGGCGAAAAAATCGCCACTTGTTGGAGGTTGTTCGTGTTTCGTTAGTAGAAGCTCATATGCCGTTATCCTATTGGGAGAAGCTCTTACATCTGCAGCTTATTTAGTCAAACAAGTACCCTCTAGCACTATTGCTTTCCAAATGCCATCCCAAGCCCTCGCTGAAGTTGTTTCTCCAGCCACCCCAAACTTACCTCCTCATGTGTTTTGGTGTGTAGCATTCGTACACCTACACAAGCATCAACGCAACAAGTTGCAATCTCGGGCATTGAGATGTGTTTTTACTCATCAAAAGGGGTACCGATGCTATCATCCTCCAACTCAACGAATGTTTGTCACACTGGATGTAGTTTTTCATGAAGACTCAACGTATTTTTCGTCTAAGTCTGAACTTTAGAGGGAGTACCAGGAGGAAGTTCAGGCTCTAGACTATGATGTTCGCATTTCTACAGAAGTTCCACCTAATAATCAGGATGTGAGTACAGTGGATACAAGTGGAATAAATTTGGATGCTAGTGGTGATACAAGTGGTGTAAATTAAAATGCTAGTAGTGATAATGACTCACAAACTGGTAACCAAGATGTGGGAATCGTGGATGCAAGTGGTATAAATTTGGATGCTAGTGGTGATGATGATCCACAAACTTGGCCGATCTATCAAAAAAGAGAGTGAAAGTGATATACCAAACCAATCGCTGGCTGAGGATGCCCTTGTAACTGAGCCTGTTAAAACACAACCACATCATACTGAGCTGGTTAGAACACTACCACAGCGTCACACCAGGGGTATTCCTAAACCCACTTATGAGCCTGAACTTTCGAGTAAAGTCAAATATCCCATGAGTCATTATGTGTCTAACCATCGTTGCTAAATCAAATATGTCATTTGTAAATCAATTATCTATAGTATCTATTCCTAAGAGTGTGCAGGAAGCTTTAGCCGATCCAAGATGGAGAGCAGCCATGAATGAGGAGATAGAATCGTTGTTAAAAAAATAGACATGGGAACTTGTTGATTATCCACCTGGAAAGAAACCACTTGGGTGTCGGTGGATCTTCACTATGAAGTATAAAGCAGATGGTACAATTGAACGCTTTGAAGCGACACTAGTGGCAAAGGGATACACTCAAACCTATGGGATCGATTATACAAAGACATTTGCACCTGTAGCTAAAATCAACACAGTTGGGGTCTTGTTGTCCCTTGCTATGAACTTGAATTGGCCATTACAGCAGTTTGATGTGAAGAATGTCTTTCTACATGGTGAGTTGTCCGAAGAAGTCTACATGAATCTCCCACCAGGATGCATGATACCAGAAATACATAGCCAAAATGTGTGTAGATTAAAGAAATCATTGTATGAATTGAAACAATCTCCAAGAGCATGGTTTGGAAGGTTCACAAAATCTATGAGAGCCTTTGGCGACCATCAAAGCAATTCAGATCACACTTTGACATGGTGGTTATAGGAAATGATCCTGAGGAAAGGAAGAATTTATAGAGTTACTTGTCTAGAGAATTTGAAATGAAAGATCTTGGCCCCTTGAAATATTTTATTGGAATCGAAGTGTCTAGATCTGAAAAAGGTATCTTTCTTTCTCAAAGAAAATATACCTTAGATTTGTTACAAGAAACTGGTATGTCAGCATGTCAACCAGCTAATACACCAGTGGAAGAAGGTCTCAAATTATGTGTTGATTCTAATCAGGTGCCGGTTGGAAAAGGAAAGTACCAAAGACTTGTAAGAAGATTGTTGTACTTAGCACATATGAGGCCGGACCTTGCCTATGCACTGAGCATTGTCACTCAATTCATGTATAATCCTGAAGAGCAACATATGAATGTAGTTATGTGTATTTTGAAGTATTTGAAGGCTGCTCCTGGAAAAGGAATATTATATTCACTAAAAACGCAAATTGTCAAAGTGTAGATACAATATATTGATGCTGATTGGGCTGGAGAAACAGATGACAAACGATCTACTTTAGGGTATTTCACCTTTGTAGGTGGCAACCTTGTTACATGGAGAAGCAAAAAATAAAATGCGTTGCACGCTTAAGTGCAGAAGCTAAATTTAGAGGTATGGCTCTTGGCATTTGTGAAGCATTATGGCTAAGACTTCTTATATTGTGACAATAAAGCAGCACGTGATATTGCCCATAATCCAGTTCAACATGATAGTACAAAGCATGTGGTGGTAGACAAATTCTTCATCAAGGAAAAATTGGATGAGAAAATTGTGGAGTTGCCTAAGATTCGATTTGAGGATCAATTGACTGATATCCTCACCAAAGCAGTTTCATATCGAGTGTTCTCAAAGTTCTTGGACAAGTTGGGCATGTATGATATTTATGCACCAACTTGAGAAAGAGTGTTGGAATGTTGTGATTCTTTCCTTCTGTTGTGATTCTTGCCTTTCCTAGTGCCAATGTAAATGTACGGTAGGTGTGGATAGGTTTGTTAGATACATAGCTTGATTATAGGAACGCATTACTCCAGTGTAACTTGATTGTTGGAACGGAGGCTTACATGTAGGAATGATAGCTTGATTGTAGGATCAGTATAATTGACCCATTGCTATATATATACATGTACATCTCCATTGAGAAATAATAAGAAAATATTATTCCCAATATTTGATTTTTTTTTTGAACGATTAAAAAAAAAAAAAAAAGAGTAGATCACTAACCATGCATTAGTAGAAGACCAACTTATATCAGTGAGTCCAGGAAAATCATAGCAGGAGACATATCATTCAAAGAGTGTGTACTAGAAGTGATCAAAATCCAATCTTGTTCTTACTAAAGTAGAAGTTAGCTCAAAATACACAATCTAGGACAATATAATTGGGGCCTTAAGAAGGCCGGTCTCCTTTTATAGATTTATTTAAATTTAAGTACACTCAAAAAATTTATTTGGGAATTTACATTGTCTAAAATACCCTTAATAGTTATATTTAGTCAACACTTGTTTGAAAAAATCTAACAACTCATAAATTGAGAATTGTATTAGTATTAACAACTCATTTCTTGAAAATTGTGCTACCATTATATATATATATATATATATATATATATATATATATATATATATATATATATATATATATATATATATATTAATTAATTAAACAGTAACATATTCAACAAAAAAATAGTAACATCAAAGAGTAACATACTCAACAAAAAAATAATAACATCAAAATAGTAATATGCTTGACCAAAAAAATAGTAACATCAAACAGTAACATGCTCAACAAAAATTTAATCATTGTAATAGAGTGACACCCCCACAACAGAATAAAAACTCACATATTAAATTTTTAGTTAAGTTTTTTATTGAGTATGTTATTGTTTGATGTTATTCTTTTTTTATTGAGTGTGTTACTATTTAATAATACTATATATATATACATATGTGTGTGTGTGTGTGTATATATATATATATATATATAAAGAGAGAGAGAGAGAGAGAGAGAGAGAGAGGAGGGAGAGAGAGAGAAAAATAATTTTAATGTTAGCACAATTTTTAAGTTAAGAGTTGTTATATTTGAAAACATTGAAACTAACAATAATAAACAATATTTATGGTAAGGGTATTTATGAAATACATTTCAAAAAAAATTTAAAATGTGTATTTATTGAAAACTATTTTATGAAAAAAAAAACTTAATAGAGTATAAATTTGAAGGTAGTATTTAAAACCAAATAAATTATATAAAAGGTACTCCCAGGCAATTATTTGATATAATTTCTACCACTCATGCCCCAGCTACGAGTCACAGACTGAAGAATACTTTTCTTTGGGACCATTTCACAAACAAAACACCATTTTTTTTTTGGTTGAACAATCAAAAGTGTTCAAACCAACTTATTCACACCTCAACTAATTTTCTTCTCAGTCCGATCAAAAATAAGTCATTTACATTAAAACTAAGGTATTCATGAGAATAAATATTTTATAATCTGATTCTAAATAATTATCAAAATTTGAACTCAGAACATCTAACTTTATAAGTCGTCCCTATTATCACTTAAATTACCGTAAGATTTACAAACAAAACACCAAGTGCACATATCACCCACACACTTTCTTACAAACTCTAACCCTGCCATTAACTCCATAAAAACTTTGAAATCACCCAAGCCCAAAAAAAAAAAAAACGGAGAGAGACAAAAGGAAGGGGGAGGTTGTGGTCGTTTTGAGGGTTGTTTTCTTAGTGCTACACACATACAGGGGCTGCGAGATGGTCTAACATGATAGAGACAAGATTTGCAGAGCTATGTACAACACAAACAATGTTGCATACAATGTAATTGGGGCCATTGAGGAATATGATATATAATGTGTTGCTACAGAATGATTTGCTACTGCTCTAATCAAATGACTAAAATTACAATACAACATAATTGGGGCCGTCGGGGAATATGATAAACAATGTGGTGCTTCAGAATGACTTGCTAATGCTAATCAAATGACTATAATTACAAGGATCGGGCTTGGAGGGCAAAAACTATCAATCTTCACTCAATATGTACACTATTTACAGGTTCACTGCCTTCTGACAGGAAAGAATCTATAAGTAATGGCCTCAGAATCTGTACACCTGCAACCAATACGTCAATTCTCAAAAACAGCAGCAAAATTGGAGGGGTAACGAAATAAATTTTCAAAGGTCTTCGAAATTAAAGTTTAATGGTTGATACAAATGCAGCTCTTATTCGGATTTTGAAAATGGGGACAATGTGCTACTTTTAAATCCAATTCTGTATGATCAAATATCCACATCAGGCAAAGGTACAGCTGACTGTAGGTGTTTAACTACAGATGAAAACCGTGAGCAGTGGATTGTCAGACACGACACGTAGCGGGGAAATTAGGTGGAACTGATTCAGCAGTAGCCTTGTAATAAACAAAAAAAAAAAAAAGGTGACAAATGAATGGTTATTTCCCTTGGGTGTGCATAATCCAAAAGAAAAAAAATTCCATTTTATATCTGCCACCAAGACAATTCATGTTTCAAATTTATTCAAGGGCGGAGCCAGAAATTTGGGATAGTGGCGGCAAAAATGTTAACAACAATAACAGAACATGTACTTAATTTAGACCTAATACGTTACTGCCATTGGTTTAGCAAAACAGACTGCATTTAATTCTAAGACCCACTGTTAATGTCATGATGACAATACATAAGATTCTCAAATAAAATCCAGATCCCCTCCAATAATTTTTATCTTCAATTTTTTTCTGAGCGGATCATCTACCATTAATAAGTGAGGGACCCACTAGTATATAATGAGTCCCACTTGTAAGTATGGTTGGTGATCCACCAAGAAGAGAATTGAAGAGAAAATGAATTGGAGACTATCTTTCTCCCTCAAATAATATCCCAATAATATTATTGAAGAGAGAAAAACGAAGAGCTTTAGAATGATTTCTTGAACACATTTTGAGAGACTCGAGTCCATCTAACTAAATATTATTTGAATTCACTTAATTGAGAGTAAAGAAATTCAATCCAAATGCAAAAAATAATTAAGTAAATTTAAATTTTTTTGGAGGGGGCATATTCAGAATATAGTAAAACCTATACAATACAAATTTTTATAAAACAAAATTGAGTGGGGGTAGTTGGCCCGTGTAGCTCCTCCCTTAATTTATCTATTAGGCTACTACCTTAGCCATGTTAAAGTAAGCCCGCCAATTCTGGAAAAGTTGTAACTCACACGATACCAGGAATACCGACCAGTAATCTTGAACTTCCAAAAGTTTTTCTACTCTTTCCATTGATCAGATCCAGGTATGTTAAGTTCCTAAGGAAAGGCTTATAAGCTGTAATGAGAAACTTTGAACCCATGATAGGATACCCAAAAAAGAACTCCTTAAATCAAAAACCTATGAACTGAACGATACTACTGCAATGGCTAGTTCCTTCCACAATTCACTTTATGATTTTATACCTCTGCACAGAAAATATGATTACCCAAACTAAATTCTAGCATCCAAAAAAATTTGCAATATCTATGAATAAAAATTTCTATTGAATGAGGGAACTGAGTGCAGTGGACTAGTACAAACCTAACTTTTTTGGATTATTTGGACACTGGTTGTCCTTGTGTTGAACTCACAACCTCAAGGTTATTGGGCCGAATTTGTATCATCGAATCAGAGGCCCCCTTGTGTGTGCAATAAATAACCAATAAAGAAAATACTGTAACGTAAATGCAGGAGATGGCCATAATTCTGACCTGTTACATGAACTCCATGGCTAAGTTGTACCTAAATATTTATCCATAGACTCCTTTTTACGCTCAGGATCAAGGCTGCATACATAATTGCCACAATGAGCTATGGCATTAAAACATTGAAAAGTAAATACAATACAGATACCAGGTATCATCTACCTAAAAAAAATACCAATAAAAAAAAGAGAATAATCAGGTAACATCTAGTTTGAGCTTACCTGTTCCTAACACCAAGAAGAGCATAATGCAAAGCACGTGCAGCAGCAGAAGCTGGAGCCACGGCCGCTGCAGGAGCCGCCTGAACAGCACTTGCCAAAGCAGAACCAACACCAGCACCACGCTGGTATCTTTTCAAGGGAGTTCGAACTAAAGCAGAGGCAGATTTTCCCAGGCCATCACTGATACTTTCATAAGCCTGTCAAATTTTAAACCATTGAAGACTAGTTTAGAAAAAATGCAGGTGAACATTCTGCTCCATTGCCAAGGAAGAAACAAGGAAAATGTGTATGTAATATTCCTACAAGCCAATTATCAATTTGTATCATACAATCCGATAACAACAATAAGAGTCAAACATCCCCACCGCTCTTTTTGGATGCCATGGCAGCACTTCACCCTTTAGTAAAAGGGTTATAGCATATAGCATTCAGTTGACCTGACCGGAGATGCTTTCAGATAAACCAAAAAATATACTTTAAAAATGGCAGTAAGACTGAGTGTCTGATATGGACATGCATCAACTAGGCCATGGGACATGAAAGACAAATGGGTACAAGGCTATGAAGCACAGATACTTCGTCAAGGTGTTGACATAACGATACTTGTCAGATACTCGAGGATACACATCATACGTATCCAACAATTAATAAAATATGTGGATACTTCACAGATACTTTTACACATGAGTAAGATATACAATTTTTAATTTTAATCTATACCCTCTCCTTTCAAGCTCACACATAATAAAAAACATCAACAAAATTCTATTTAACTTTGAAGAAATTTTTTAAGTATTAAAAGAGTATAAAAAAAAGTATAAAAAATGAATTAGTTACACTATAATCATGGAAATAAATTTTTGTAAGCAAACTAACTAGTTAAATATTGGTTCTGATTCAATTAATTAGTCACATTTACTTTATGGATGTATCATAATGAGATGATATTACACATTTTTCAAGGTAAAAATTACTAATTTTACTTACTATTGTTAAAGAATTACTAAAATTTATAATTTTTACGACATTAAATAATAGGACAATTACAATATAAAAGATATTTTATTATAGCCGTATCTTAATCGTATTCGTATCTTTTTTTTAGGTTTTGTCGTATCGCCATATCCGTATCCGTGCTTCCTAGAGTACAAGGGAATTTGGTTATTTTTTTTCCGGTAGGTAAATAAATTTTATTTCCCAGAACTAATATCTTACATCGAAGATGGAGCAAGTCTCATCAAAGAAAAGCTTGTAACAACATAGTTTGCAAAATAAAAGACTAAACATATGTCTCTCAAGCCCGAATGTCGCTTTGAAACTCAGGTACTGCAATGGGATTGCAGTTCCTAAATTGAAATTCCCACCAAACAGATACACTCGAGGTTTACGGGATTACAATCTATTAAGCTTTAAAAGGAGGACAGCACAGCAGTCCCAAACTACTTCCCAATCAAACAACATTCCCAACACCAAGTGCAGTCATTAAAATTCTCTAGCTCAAAATCATCAATCTGACATTGCCTTCTTTATCACAGAGAAATAATAATAATATGAGAAGGCATGTAATACCCTCTTAATGTAATATGTGGGGCACATACCTACCTCCACCCTCCTCGTGGGATAAAATACCCAGATTTGTCCCACCAAAAAAAAACATTTGGATTTTTCAATTTATAGAATCAAGTTTGATAAGCAACACAACAAACGCTCAAGAAGTTCAAAGCAAGTTGGAATGTTCACCTGTTGGATTCCTTGTCGAGCATCTTTAGGTTGATTAGATCTGAAGTTACTATTCACTCCGCTATGTGCAGGCCATGGTACAGAGGGTGGAATGCTTGTGAGAATATATTCTGCTTGGAGGAGGATGTCATGAGCCCCTGCTGCCAAATGCACTCCTAGTCCAATTGCCTCAAGCGAAATACTTCTCAGAAACGCAATTGTACCTGGAGTAAGTATAGCTGCATCATTTCTATGCCCAATTAAAAAAACCATTTCATAAAATCCAAGAAAGCGGATTACAGATCAACCGGTTGCTCAAAGAAAGCAAGTGGTCACAAAGACTCCTGATGAGTTGGTGTCAACATACATCAAAATATATTGTATCTGCTATATAATCACCAAAGTTTGGATCCCTATTTAAGCTAGAGTTGGGGAAAAATCTATGTGCATATGAACACTCTCCCCAATTTCATATGCTAACGGTATCCACTATTTGTCATCCTCAAAATGAGGTAAATCCACAAATAAAAGACTTGGAAACACTAACACATTGCTCTTGTTCAAAAGCATTTTCTGGTGAAATAAAATTCCATGCACCAATAAGAAATCAAGCATGACACTAGATATGACAGCCAACACACTCATTCTTGTAGTCAAACCTTCTTTACAAAAGGCCATGGCTCCTGTTTTACTCCACCAGACACTATCATTCCAGTAGTCAAAGAAATGTCCAGGCAACAATGAAACCAACTCTTCTAATAGCTAGTATTACTATATCATAAAGCCTAGGCAGGGAATTGTAACGAGGCATATGTAATCACAGATATAGATGCATAGCTTTCAACAAAGAATTATTGGAGGAAAGCTCACTCCCCTCCAAAAAAAAAAAAAGCACCCCTAGTATGCTTCTTTGTTACCATTCCAATAATATATGACTGAATCTTTTTCTCTCTATACCTATAGAACAAGAGAAGACTTTAGCTAAGTTAAAACTATTCACCCAAAGAAAGTAGGCTAACATGGCTGCCTAGCACGCAATAAAAGAGTAGACAAACGCGTGCATCAGTATGGAGCATTATCTACAGTGAAAAGCAGAGGGAAGGGGAAAGTCAATGGCAGTATCTTTCTATAAGGTGTTGTCCAGAGACAGAGCTTCAGATTTCCATTGAAAAGACATCCGTCAAGGTTAACTGCTGAAGTCCATTCCAAGGTTCTTTTAGTGTGGGTTCTGCGGCATTAGAGGCTATTTTGACCATCGACAGTCTAAGTTGTTCAAAGAATATACTTCCAATCGGTGGGTCCATAGGAGACTATCCCGAGGTGGGCACAAAGAAGATGAAGGAACATGAACTGAATGAAATGTTTACAGATTGAATCTGAAAGACAACAGAGGATATCTCCAAGCAACCCCAGACTTGTCAGGAGTCCAGCCAGTACGTATTACAATCCAGTTGAGACATTTTAATGCAGTCTTCTTCGTAGAACGAGGCTTGCACACTGAACATCAACTAATATTTTCTAACTCAAGAAATCATTGCTACTTGACAGAGTCATGTGCACCCTTAATCTCATATCTAAATGTGAGACAGTCTTCTTGACACGAAGACAGTCATGTGGAATGTTTGCATCATCCAACAAAGAAAAGACAGTCAATGTTGCATGAATTGAACGTTCATGTCATTGGTAAAAGAAAAATAAAAGGCAGTTGACTGCACAAGACTCCTGCCACTGTGAGGTCTGGAGAGAGTAAAATAAACATGGTCTTACCCTGCACTACAGACAAGTTGTTTCCGTGTCTCAAAATAAAGTAAGAATTTTTACATTCATTGCAAATATTGAATACATTTCTGAAACTAAACACACTTCACATTTGATTAGACACTAAAACACCCAACTGACTTCCACACAAGGAGACCAATTTCCAGCCAATAAATAGGAATGCCAATACTTTACCTCTTTGCATTCCCTTGAGTAATTTTTTATCCTTCCTGTAGCTCTTAACAGGCAGAGAAACCAACTTTGCAGCACCCGAACCAACAGCAACCAATGATCGAATGGGAGGGAGCCCCTTCAACAACTTATGAATCTGTAGAACATATAATCTCTTGATATTCATGCATTATATTGCTAGAACACATGAAGACCTGATATTATCATAAGTACAATGTACAATGAATGCTACTAAAACCTGATTTTGAGAAATATCCTCCAACCAATCCCCTATTATCGTTTCACATATGCAGCTCCAACCATAGACACCAACAGCTTGAACATGTTTGAGTTGTAGCTCAACCCCCTGCAATAGAAGTCATTGAGTAGGAATCAAACATTCCACTTACATTATGGAAATTTACCAAAATCATTGCCCCCATTGCACTTGTGGCTTAAGTGCTAATGTCAGGTGAAAAGACAGTGGCCACCTATTGTGCCACGTGTAATACTACGAGGGTGTGCAAGTGTTGTATGGCTACAAACGAATGAGCTTGTCATAATCATGCTCTCATAATTCAGTTTCTGTAACACTAAAATTTCCCCAAAGAGCATATGAACAGGCCAAAGTAAAAACAATACTTAAAGCACGTGTCATAAATCCCAGAGACAACATAAGATATAATCCGTTTCCATAGTACAGTTCTCAGTAATTATCAACCAGTGGAAGAGTAAGTCTTTACTGGCAGATGACATGACAATATGTAGCTTAAATGAGAACATACTAAGTTCCGCCGGCACTGCACTCTTGAACTTGCATTGGCAAAATTGCCAAGACTTTTGATTGAGTTCTGCTGGGCCTTCGGCATGAATAGAGGCAAAAAGACGGGGGCTTCAATATTCATCTAATTGCTAAAATACGAAATACAACATCTTTCTCGCACATAATATTGACTAACCAGTGGTTTACACATCCATAGAATCTCACCACTCCTTGAAGTTCCTTATACCATGGTCCAAGGACCCAGTGTTCATTTTGTTTCCACCATGAACTTCTTTTACCTTTACAAAACCAGTAAAGTAAATGAGAGGAAGGTAGTATTCAATATACAGGATGGACAACCAATAGGCCCCTTCCGCGTAGTCGACAGATATGCTTGTCTTTTCTACTTCCTCTTGAAAGTTCTCTCTCAGACCGAAACTTTTTGGTTTTCAAGAAAACTAGAACAGACTGGTAATTGAATATCCAAATTCCTCTTTTTTGGGGCGCTTCAGAATGTTTCGAAGTGTTTTTAGATATTTTGGTATGCTTTGATCAATGTTTTGGAATGTCACGGAAACAAATTTAATTCCAAAAGTTTTCCATTTCCACACTGACCAAATCTATGTACTGAAATGACAGTCCTTGCCATGGTCATACCACTATGAGAATGAGTTGAGCTTAAATAGCCCCTCTGAAGTTTTTAGCAAGAGAGAGTGTGTCCCTAGCAATCTATTCTGCGAATCGTATGAGATTAAAACTCAACAAAACACGAGTAATCTGCAGGAATTATAATTTCATCTTTCATTCCAGATTTTGCAGCCCAAGCACCTAAAGTCCTAATGTAATAAATTGACAATTCCAGGAAAAACCAAGAATTCAAGGATATGGATAAGCATATGGCAAAAAATACTGGCAGCAAAACTAGAAGATACATGGACATTGCATCAATTACAGTGACTCCAATTTCAAGCCATATAAATACAAGGGAACCAGCCAGTAAACACCGAATAAAGTTTGTAGCCCATATTTGTTTTTATTTCCACCATTCAAGCTAATTGCAACTTTTTCCCCTTCCAACTAAGATCATTGCATTAATAGTCGGTCATAAAGCCATGTGCTTCATAAAGGAGGTCACCATCAGCTAAACAAGAACCAGAACCACATCTAAGTAATGCACCATCTTACAATGACAAATTTTGAATTTGACAGGTAAAAGAGAACCAGACATTAAACAACATCTAAAGTGTGAATGGCATGCCTATACTTTTTTTGTTCAATTTCACCACTCAAGCTAATGCCAACTTTTTTCCCGTCCAAAAAACTGGGGCATTAATAGTCTGTCATGCAACCATGAGCTTTATAAAGGAGGTCAGGTACAGGCCAACAAGTAACTCTGTCCACATCTAAACTAAAGTCAGGTCAGGATTTTTTCACCTTCCCACCACTTGAATAGTTTGGGCAGGATGCGCCTGCTCAATTAGCAGGCCTTGTTTACATCTCTATCATACTCACACAGTATATTGTCAAACCAAAGAGCATATATTTCCTATTATTTATAAGCTGATAAAGTTTCCTGCTCAAGATAATGTGTTTCAGTCCCAAGATAAGGCAAGTGTTTTGTTAAATTACCAAAAAATTAAGCCACATTAGCATCCTTTTTTTCTATCAACACAAAATTAGCCTTAAATTAACAAAACTAGAGTTATAGCACCAACAAACTTTTTGGGCTGGTAAGCTGACAGAAACAAGGTAATAATTTATGCCTTCTTTTGTGGCCAAGATAACACTTGTGAACTGTCTACAACTTAAAATGGATAGCATTAAGTGTTATTATTATTAAGATCAAAAAAAGAAATAAGAAGCTACCTTCCACGGAACTAGGTTAACAAGTTCCACATATTTCCCGCCCCTTAAAGCAGCTAAATCAACATGGCGAGGACTATAATCGACCCGAACAAGAACAGGCCACATGTCAAACTTCTGAAACATAATCCAAATATTATCAGTACAAAAATGTTACCTAGTTTCAAGCTGAGTACTCATGGGCTGAAACAAGTAATGTACAGCAAATGAAAAATCTAAATCTAGTATCCTAAGTATCAAACAATTATTGGATTCGAAGCAACCAGATCAGAAGACAGACAATGCATAACATAACAAATATAACTGATTGATTGATTAGTTGCCACATTCTTGAGAAATACACGTGTATATGAGTGTCTACATGTGTGTATGTTTGTCTATCATTTGGCTACAAAGGTTCAGCAAGGTGTTGGGCCTAAACAACACGATCTTTGTCTACTCGCCTGAAAATAAGGAAGCAATGCCTCCTCAGTCACGATGTGGCCCCCAACTTTAATACTCCTTTTTAGTAACATTCCCGATTCACCCAAATCCTGAGGAAAACTCGGACATTGGTCAACTGATAAGCTTTTTCCTCCAAAGAAGCTGATGAGAAAATCAAGTTGGCACTGATGAAGATGCAACCGCATAGGAACGAAAGCAACACGCAACCTGAAAGGGGAAAATTTGCAGTAATTATGTCGCTTTTTTCCTACTTAGGGATCACTAATTTTTTTTTTTTAAAGCATTGAATGAGGGGAAGTATAACCTATGTAAATGAAAATTCATATGGGATGGGAAGACAAACAATGAATTATCCCCTTTCTGTTACACGATAAACAGTAGCACATGAACTGATGCTTTTTCAATGATACAAAAGGAAACAATTCAACCTACACGGTTGGGCATTATCAAGTTACTAAATGATTTGGCTGCAAAATTTATCATATTCACCCAAAACCCTGCCATGTAGTATAAGGAATCAGTGGAAAGCAAAATTTTTGGAAAAATTGACTAGATTGCATTCTCAAAGTAACAGAAAAAAAATTGCTTGATAAACGCGAGAGAAGTCATAAACTGTCAGGCAGGATGTTGTTTTCCTATCAAGAAACAAAAATGACGTGTCAAACTTTTTCAGTTTCACAAACAAACAAAAACTCTTTTTCTTTCCCATAGAAAAAATACTCTAAGTAGTATTCTTAAGATATTTTACATGCAGCTAACTTAATTAATGGAAAGAATTAGTAAACATATTAGCTAAAATGACTAGCAGATATTGCCCCAAAAGATAAAAGAATAGCAGAAAAACATGAAACGGAACAGCATGCGCACCGGTACTCTTCAAGAGGTGTCAAAGGATCTGGTCTTACAGCCTCTAAATCCAGCTTGAATGCTTTTGATGATGATTCTCTAGGATGATCTTTTGAATGATAATATCCAAGCACCTTCAAACAGAAGGGATAAAAAGAGTTGAAACCCTGTTCCAAGAATGGTAAAACAAAATTTAAATCCATTCAAAAGTCACGGAGATTGAAGTTTACCAGTTTCCATGGAGCATCAATGCTGTTGTCACTAAGATGAAAATCCTGAATTGAGAGGGAAAGCCTAGATACACATATTCCACCATCTGGGTAAACATCATACCGAAACTTCATCCCAGATAATGCAAGCTCTAGACATACATCTGTATCCCGTCCTTGAGTAATTGCAGAATGCTCAACACTCTTCTTAGAGTTGTTCCAATCAGAGCCAGCATGCATTCTCCAGATGACACTGGTGTTCTTAAAAAGAACACGCCCCTTAATTTCTCCATCCTCATGAAGTCCAGTGCGACAGCTAGAAGCCACACCTTCTACACATTGTTGTGGACCAGTTCGCTCACTAACTTTTGACACATGGTCGTCTAAAATTCTGAACAAGGAGTCCCCATACCATCCATTGTTTCCTCTTGGGACTTCTTCATTCTTCACATTACTAGATTTGCATTTAAAAACCTCATCTGTTGGCTGGTTATTCAGAGATAGATCTGGCAGGGAGCATAAGTCAGATAAAAAATACCCTTCTATAAAATCTGGAAAGTTGCTCTGTGAATTTGAGGTGTCATTATTTTCTAATCCAATTACAGGCACTGACCCTTTGAGGGACAAATTACACGAAAAATTTTCTGCGTCTCTGACACTTAAGTTACACGCTTCTACAAGAAAAGCATCATTCAGTGAAATATGAAGTTGTGATTCACATGTATCAGACTGGCCATCCAGAGGTCCATCCAAGTGAAATGCATCGTCACATATCTCATCCATCAAATTGACCACACCAGGTTTGCTTATTGTATCTATGCTTGAAGTACGCAACCCAGGAATTGATGGAGCAGAACCACTATTAAAGATCCTACTTTCATCACTCTCGTGTGCCTGCTGGACATTATTCCACCTGGTCTGCAAGTGTACAATAGATTCTTCCACATCAGGAGTAAAAAGCTGCTGGAGTTGGGCAGCCAAACGAATCAAACCAGAAGTGGTGTCATGGCAAGTATCTACAACAATGTGAGACTCAGAACATTCTACTTCCCAAAGATGACCATTCTCACAGTTTGCCCTCAAAAGTGTCTCAAAATGTGCCTCTTGAGCAACTTTGACATAGCCAAGCTTGCGAAGAGCTTCTACACTATAAGTGCCACCGACATTTTTTGCCTCAGAGACCTCACAAAGAAGTAGACCTAGATCTTGCATTCTAATTTTGTAGTCCCTGCTAATGGAATCAGCTGCCATTATATTACGAAGTTTCAAAGAAGATGCTGCCAAGAGACAAGCAACTTTCTGTTCACCATTCTCTTCCTTGATATTAGCAGAACCAGAATCAGAATCAAATCCTTCGGAAGCCACCAAGTTCCTTACGTATGGCTCATAACTCAAAGCAATATCTGCCAAGTTAAGCACAAAAGAAGATTCACAAGGCACACTTCTCTCAGAATAGCTCTTCTGCAAACTGTGGTCACTTGCTTGTTCCATTTCAGGAGAGGGCAAACAAAAAAAGAATGATATTGTATCAAACCAATCCAAGCGACCACCTACTGCAACAATAGTGCCGCATCTAACAATCACAGATGTATAACTCTGACAACACTCAGGATCCCAGAAGTGTACAATATCAGAACCTGAAAACCTAGAAGCTAATACATTTGAACCTTCTCCATCACCACGTCCTATTGTAGAATTGCTGCATGAGATCAGAAGCAGTTCTTCATTAGGAACTCCACTAATGCAACCCCACATATTGCCTTCACCATGGGCCACCCAAAGAAAATTGGAACTTCTAAGTCCGCCTACATTTGATACAGATAGCAACTCAAATTTCTGGATTTCGAGTTTCAATCTATGCCAAGAGCCCGGAAGCTCGTTCTGGATCGAGCCTCTGATACTCTCCACTGCTTCCAGGCTAATTGCTATTTCCACAGAATCACATTCCACAAGGACTGATGTTTGAGAACCACAAGCTTCTTCCACGTTTCCAACTGGATCAGAGGCTATGCATGATAGCCAATCAATCATCTGATGTAAAAGACAGTGTAAATTTTGATACTGAGAAGTACCTAGATTGACCACGACAGGAGATAAGTGGACATGTAGAGAAAAAGCAGAGCTCAAAACCATTTCTTGTCGAGTATGACAATTGGAGTCTTCCAAATCCTTAACAGTAGTTACAGAGGCAAACTCATTACCTTTTGCCATGAATTTATTTCTGCTCCTCGCATCCTGTGAAGTAGCCAATAGCTTGGCCCTCTGTGCTATCCAAGGACCAGTCAGAGGACCCTCCTGCCAAAGCATACTAATAACAGAAGGACGACCTCTTCCATCAGTGACAGAAAGAACTTTCTGAGCAAAAAAATTCAGCTCTCGCATGCTGAAGGGGTTACCTTCTACATTCTCCTTGGAAGCTGAGGTAATTAAATACATGTCAAGGTTGCCCACACTCAAATGTAAGGAAGATGACTTTCCTGACGAATACCTCTTCTTAGAACCACCAGCAGGAGATGGATTAGTGGCTTGAACATTCTCCTCACCCAAAGTAGATGGTGAAGAAAAATCAAGAGCAATAAACTGATCACAGGAATAGTACCTTCTAAAATCTCTATCTTTCTCAAAAGGGAAACATAATATCATCCTCGCATTTGGAAGGAATATTTTACCCATCAGACTTTCTTTCGGAGACAAGGTTGGAACATGACTCTCTGCGACATCCCCTAGAGATGAAGGCCTATGCTTATCATCAAAGGCCTCAGATGCAAAACCATCTGCAGAGCTAGTCATTTCAAAAGATGTTCCAATTTCTTTCAAAAGATCTGTTATCATACTTATCAAACCAAAGTTCACCCAGAAAATAACTGGTGGCAGCTCTAGTGAAAAAGATGTTGGCCCCATGAAACGGTCATCTGCAGATCCAGAATTTACCTTAAACTGGAACTGACTAGCACCTGAGGTTCTAAGCAATGTAACCTTGATCACATCATCCCTGTAAATACTTCTGCACATTGTTGCCCTAATGCATCTACTTGGCGAACGTACACCAAATGGAACATCTCCAACAACAGACCCACTTGGTTTTTCTAAATGACTATCTTTGATAGATGAGCCAAAAGAAGGGAGTGCACCTTGAACTGCAGCTTGCATTTTTTGGATCAAGACAACCAGACTTTCGTCATCATCATTAGCACCATGCAAATCAAAATCCATAGCTTCATTCTTATTGCTGAAGTGATCAGATAATTCTACATGCTCCACCATTGCTCTAAAATTCATTTCTCGAGGACATACCTGTTGACCTTATCAAAGGTTTGGGGTCAGTGTAGAGGAAAATGATGAAAGACTGGTGAATGTGGAGGACAAAAGATTCAAATTCAACAAGAAAGAATGGAGAGGAGCACGAATATTACCTGCAAGACAAGAAGCATGTCTTGAAATGTTGCACCCATATAATGAATATATGAACCGGCAATTGTCTGGTCACCCTTGAGATCACACGAATGCTGCCGGTCTTCATCAACAAAAGAAAAAAGAAGAGAGACTCCAGAAACAGAGGCCTTAAGATTTGTTTCAACATGCTGCTGTTCTGCACCCAAATTGAAGCAAGATTAGATTACTTGCTCTGACAAATGGTAATTATCAAGCAACCATATGAATGAGGAAAAACCAAAATCTTGTCATAGGCAACCCCAAGACAAGTCTACAACACTGAGGAACACCTCAAAACACTCTCTTAAGAATAAAAACATCTTATGTAAGCATTTAAAAAAACTTTTAATCATGCAGCAAGGTTGATGGTTATTATTTAGATCTAACGCGTGAAAACTCACGCGTTGACCAGTGACAAATATGCTTCCAGCTTAACAAAACTCAGAATAAAATAAAGTTAAATTCTAAATATATGTTATTCCTAAAATTAGAGTTTAGGGGTAATTAACACATTTTTTTCCATTTACCATTCCATTTTGTTTTCAAAAATGGCCTCCATGATTTCCCAAAAATAGTCGCCATTTTCATTATCTTACCTGCTAAATTTCATTATATGTATTCAGTTTGCTATTGATCACTAATCTCCAGATTGGGAATATAAGTCCAGCCTTAGTTCACCAGCCACTTCCATCTTAATGAGATTTAAAGTGGCACACCTATACACCTAAACGTCATTAGAGAGAAATCAGGCCTAGAGACTCATCTCCATCGAATCCTGGTAATATGAACTGGTGAGATTAATAAACCAACGTAATGGACCAAATAACTAGATTTTCGTCCAAATTTTCTACCTTCTAATACTAACAAGAGAACGGGTTCCCAGGTTGAAGATCAAATTCAAGATGTTTGGTGCATGGTTATGGAGTGAATTGAAAGACACCCCATAATATTGAAAATCATCTTAACAATAGTATTTCTATCATCAAGAGTACTTCTGTAGTCTTCCAACATTCCTTTCTTTCCTTGTTCCCTATTTCAATTGTTCTGGTTGATAGGATGAGAAACTTATGAACATTCCTCGGAGAAAGAGTGTCTCAATCATCAACTATAAAACTGAGAACCAATCAACTCTTTACATGTCAAGTGGTTTTGGATGAAATACTTACCATTGATCAAATTATTTACGAAATTCTAGTTTCAGAAAGTAACAGTGGAGTAATTTTACTATAGCCTCACAAAACATCACCCAGATGCTTGAGTTGCCCTGATCTCAATTTGCACATCACATGACTAAGAAACAGTAGATACAATAACAAAAGCACCAAAATAGCACTGTACATTTCATAGGTTATAATACGAGTGAGGAAGAGCATACCAGAGGGAATATGCAAAGATCCAGAAGCAAGGTTGGATGCAGCAGTTATTGCACTGAAAACAGAACAAGTCCAGTTCCATGCCCCACTGTTTCCTAAAGCTGATTGGGAATTCCTCAATCCATCAAAACATTCAAAGAACTGGTCCATGCTGCAAATAATCAATGGCACAACATTCAACAGATATTAGCATAACATGAAGCTATGGTATATGAAAAATATTAAAACTTGACCTTCAAAATGGTAGTTAACAACAGCACTTACTGCTAACGATGTTCCAATTTTTGCACTATTAAACATTAGAAAATGGTTAGTTGAGAACACATATTTGTTAGAACATCCAATCCAAAACCAATTATAAATGGGTGGAGAGGCCCCCCCCCCCCCACCTCAACAATACAAACTTTGGCAGCCTAATCTTCCAACGTGGGATACAAACCATCTTTATACCCACCCTCACATGCGACTTGAACTCATACATGTACTAAAAAACCGAGGCCATTGACCACCACGACCCAACTATGGTTCTCAATTCCTAATGTAACAACCCAAAGAAAGGCGCACTGACAACTTGGAATCACATCAATTTGATTGTCCAATCATGGCATCACTAGCGGCCTTCCAAGAATTGATCATGCAAAAATAGGGGATGCAAGTTCCATCGATTCAATCAAGAATGGATAGGCAGAGCTCGAAAAGGGTAGTTGGTAGCGAGCGACAAGACTAAAGCTCACACTGGTCCACTCGCTATTCATATTTGAGCCAAAAAAATTGAACAATTGGAGGAGAGGCCCCTCAATCATACAAACCAACCTAGATGGTCCTAATCTTTTGGTGTAGAATACAAAACTCTCTTCACAACCTCCCTCACATAGGAGATCTACACGTGTGCTGACAAATGATTGAAACAAACAGACAAACAAATCGACAAGTTTAAATAAGTAATAGACTTAACCCACTATCGATCCAAAACCCAATTCCAATACCATGTTAGAGGCATCCAATCCACAACCAATTGATAATGAGTGAGAGGCCTCAACCATATAAACCAACCTGGCCCTAATATTTAAACATGGAGTAGATGTTCTCTTCACAATAATTGAAATACCGGGGCATAAAATGTCATTGGATAAGGAAGCTTCATAAGATGCCACCAAAAAACAGTTAAAAATGTGGTAGTTTAATTCTTGCTGTTTATAAGAAAAAGGGTCTCACTAAAACTTAATAGCACATGGGGACTGTTACAATTAAAGCTATTTACAACAAATCATACTTAACCAACAAAATTAAGTTTAAGTGATATTTATCTCAGAGCAATTTTGACATGAAATTTGAAAGCACAAGAAAGGATACCAACCTGGCGCCAAAATCTGGTTCTTCTTCAATTCTGTTTTTTTGGTGTCTACCGACAGAGGATGGCACCCAGTCTGATATAAGATGGGACCCTGGCAGCAGGGCATCAGTTACCGTTTCTTTCCCCATAGGCGGGAAGCAATCAGAGAAGAAACTTTCTTTGTTTGGTGGCACCTTATCAGTAGCAAACATAGAAGGACCTAGAGTTGAGGAATTGCAATGAGATGCTGCATTAAAATAAACAGACTCCATCGCCTGGTGATGAATGCGACCCTTTCTATTCTTACCTGTATCTTTAAACATTTCCCACAAATATAAGAAACATTTGATGGAACTAGGTTGAAATCTTAATTCTAGAGGATCAATATAAGCATCAGCATCCACTTTGCGGATATCTAAAGAACCATTGTTCAATGGTATGCTCAATTTTAGAGTCCCTGAAAATCCACCTCTTTTCCCAGTGACAATTGGAGTTGTAGCGTCTGACATGCAGCATCCCGAAAAGCATGCACCAAAAGTTGTTCCTGAAGCACATGGAAGGGATGTTTGGTTGTCAACACCATCTATTTGAAGGAACTCAAGTATTGCTCCTTGGAATTTTACAAAGTTTATCAGACGGCTTAATCCAAAAAGGTTACTAACTGTTGCATCAACACTTAACTTAGCATCTTCCGAAATGCATGTTCCACATTCCACATCAGTAATTCGAAGCACCAAAGTTCTGCAAAACTCAGTCTCCTTTTCCTCTGCTAAATGGGGATCAAATGCAACAATCAATTTTTTAACTTTAACATGGAAGCTGGTAAGCAACCATTTTACCATCTTGGCAATGGTTTTAACTCCTTCATGAACATCCATAGAATCAGTTGCTGCAGGGTTGTCAACCAATTCATGATTGATCTTCCCCAAGTCAGGACTGCTACAGTAGTTACTATCTTGACTGGACAAACAAGTTTCAGCCCCAACTTGAGATACATTTTCCCCACAGGGAGCAAGCACGAGCTCAAGCTCATCCACCTCAATCTCACAACCTTTACCTTTCCAAGGCATTGTCACTAACAAAGAGCCAATTGAACCTTCTTTAAAAATCACTACTGCTGCTCCACCAAACTGGAAAACACAGGTATAAGAGAGCAGTATAACCATGAGAAAGGAGGGGGAATGAGAAAGAGAAAGAGATATGTTCTGTATCATAGGTGGAAAAAATAAATTAAATGAGGACACCTGAAAAATAGATAATGAGTGATATGTACCATAGAGACTCTAGCTACCCAAATCAGTGTTTGGCAATCTAATTTTTTTTCCACAAGAAAAGAAACAGAATGGGTCTCTTGTTCCCTTCAACCTAATATTTTAGTTGATGTGGGTTTCTATCTTTTTCCTTTTTTGTTGGATGGATGAGCATCCTTTTAAATGGATTTCAATCTCACAAGGCTTCTGAGTCATGTGAAAAACAGTAAATTCCATGAAAATTAATTGGCAATACTTTGAGAATTGAAACAGCTATAATTTATTTTTGCTTTTAGAGACAGAAAATTAAGATATACTGGAATTTTATCACAAGAGATGCCTATAACCGATCATTTTCTATATCTTAGATTGATTGCTTCTATGAGAAAATTGAGGAGAAAATTGCCCATAGTGCCATATACTTAGAGAAAGTATGCTGAATAATTATCCCTGGAATTTATTTTTGCTTTTAGAGACAGAAAATTAAGATATACTGGAATTTTATCACAAGAGATGCCTATAACTGATCATTTTCTATATCTTAGATTGATTGCTTCTATGAGAAAATTGAGGAGGAAATTGCCCATAGTGCCATATACTTAGAGAAAGTATGCTGAATAAGTATCCCCGTATAGATTTGAGACTTAAGAGTACAAAAAGGCCCACCCCAAAAGGCGAATAGTCCTTTGCTATTCACAGGTATTCCCACGCGGCTTAACCCTGATCACCTCCAAAGAATAGGAGGGGGTTATCTGACTGTAAAGTCCCTGCCAAGCTGAAGATGAACTTATATAAAGACCAGGTATGCTTTACCATACGGACTTTGGCAGTTAAGAAACTTCCATAAAAATGAAGGTAAGAGAATGTCGAGCTGGACAAGCGCTAGGTCCCTGAAGGCGGCAACAATGGGATAGAATAAGAAATGATTACAGTCTTGGTAAATCGAATATGGAAAATCAATTGACAAAACCCATCTGATATGTTATTTCACGTGCAGTGTATCCTAACTAATGACCAAACTGAAGATACTGAAAAACAAAAAAGAGGAAAAACAAAGTGAAGGTGGATTGAAGCTATGAGCTAGGACATGTTTGCCTCATATCTAACCAAGTATATGACAGTACAGGAGCTTACTGAAGAAGAGGGATTGAGGATCAAGTGGTGGGGCATAAAGCTTACTAAGTTGAATATCATCAATTAGTGGTCTAAATCTTTTTTTTTTTTTTTTAATAAGAGGGTTTCATCTAAATCTAACTTCTCATCTCTTGACTGGAATAAATAATCAAACAAGGAGCAGGTCATCAACAAATTATCTTCAAGCTACTGAAATATTCTGCATGATCCAAGGTTGGTGAAGTTCTAATCAAAAGCAGAATTTCTGTCCAGTAGTCAATCAAGGCACATTGTACGCATTCCTATTTGCAACAGACAGCTCCATCATGTCAATGGACTCAATATATCTTTGTCTTCAGCCATGGACGTATCTTGTGACAAATTTCCATACCGTTTTTTTATGGCAAAACACCGTCATACAAAGCCTATGGTCTATCTAAACATTATTCACAAATTGCCAAAAGGAAAGCAAAAAACTATACTCTATGTCAAGCTTTTCAAGTCCTAAAATACTCTTAGAAATTCCATCTAATTACAATCGGCCTCCAAACTATCTTCAAAAATAGCAAAATATTTAACGAATTTAACAATTTTCCACAGTCCAAACTCCAGAAACCCTCAAACTCAATAACACAAATACAACCATGCGTACCTTCTGATTGAGATAATCGACGTTTAGAGCAAGATCGGAGAGCTGAATGGTGCCGGCGCCGAGCTGAACATCGAGCTGGTTAAGATCGATGTCGCCCAGAATGAATTGCCCTAATTTCTTCTTCAACAAGAACTTACAAACCCTCTTTATTGCCCACCGAGAGAACATCGCCTCCGCCGATTTGGCGATGTTCCACGGAAACATCTTTGGTTCCGTGTCGTTCGAATCTGTGCTATTTTACGTGAAAATTAGGGTTTTAGAATTGTGTCTAAGAACCTTAACTTTTTGCTCAATATGGAAGCTCTCACCTCCATCCCATCCAAGAAGGGAAAGAAGAGAGAGAAAGGAAGAGATTGATAGTTCAGAGAAGAGGTTTTAGAGAGCGAGAGAGTCCTGTTTGATCTGTGATTAGATTTCGTGTCTTTAACGGTCAGTTATTGAACAAAAAAGAGCGTTAAAGCCTGAAGGCAGCGAAGTTTTAGATACTTTCGAACACATCATATGTTTTTTCATAAGTTTTAAAGACCCGGCCCGGTAAAAATATTGGATCAGCGGATCATTAGTTCAACCGTTGTTGAATCACTGATCGAATCAATCATATAATAAAAAGATAAAAAATAATTTTCAATGATAACAAATATAATAATTATAAGAATAATACATTTAATATATATTACAATAAACAAAAAGCCAAAAATTATCAACTGAAACTATGTATGTAGCACAAAACACCATGCTGTCTTTCGGAGAAGTGATCAAACAAAACACCAACTGAAACAATGTATGATCACCCACTCCCAGTTGCCTTTTGGTGTGGTGATTGGTGAGTGGTTGAGCGTGATAACTCGCCAGAGACAGTCGACAGAGATTTCGAGAGATCAGAGAAGGAGATTAGACAATTTAGAGACTGAGAGATTTGATCTACAAGAGAGACGGTCGAGAGAAAAGAGCGAGAGATCAGAGAATGAGAGTAGACAATTTAGAGGCTGAGAGATTTGATTTGCAAGAGAGATGATTGAGAGACAGTCTGCGAGAGAAAGAGCGAGAGATAGGAGGGATTTGATTAGTGAATTAGGGCAAAAATGCCCAAATGCCCAAAAAACTTTGATTATATGGGACTTAAAGTGAACCAGCCAAGTATAAACGGTTTATTTAAAAATCGTCCGATTCAATGAATTTTTATCGGATTTTATGCTTAAACGGTCGAATTAATAAACCAGCTAGATTTAGGGTTCAGGTCACCGAGTTTCTAAGTAAGCCCTTCGGACTGAGTTGGGTTTTAAAACTGTGTTTTTTTTTCCCAAATTGGTTTGAACCGTTTAGTTTTTTGAGAATAGGGTTAATAACACAAAACATACCTAAACTTAATATCAATTGCACATTGCATCCCTCAATTATTACAAATTTCACTTAACCTCTTCTAATTTGCGAATTAAGCTCACGACTAGTGGAAACTTAAGAGGCATCGGTCCCTTCCCTTGTAGCTACTATGACCAAAAAAACTAGGTCTCAATTGCAAAACTAAGCAAAGAATCAACTGAATATTGTAGCAAAGAGAGAATCAAAGTTTGATGAAATTTTTTTTTCCAAAAAATATTGACTACACTAACATTTTAGAGGCATAAGATAAAAAACAAATTCCTTAACAACGTTATAGATTTTAGGAGTAATGTCAATGGAAGAGTCTGCAAAAAGCTTTTTATTACAGTTATCTCATTTGAAGTTCTCTCTGTTAAGAAATATAGGGTTATTTTGTTTATTAAGGGTAGAATAGTCATTTACTTCCCTGTCTTGTTTATGTGGTGCTAACGATTTAATAACTATCTTTGTAGCTCCAGAATGTTTCAGTTTATGCTCCTACCTATTATCTGGATATACCAAGAAAGATATACGGTCTAATGAGGCTACTATGAAATATTTACTCATGGGTGGGGCAAGCTCTTCTATTATGGTTCATGGTTTCTCTTGGCTATATGGTTCATCCGGGGGAGAGATCGAGCTTCAAGAAATAGTGAACGGTCTTATCAATACACAAATGTATAACTCTCCAGGAATTTCAATAGTCTCTTTGTATTTAGGTTAAATTATTTCCTTGTATTCAATTGAATTATGTAGTATCAATAAAATTCTAGCCTCCTCTTTTCTTATCTCTTGTATTTCTTTAGATTGTTCAACATGGTATCAAAGCAAAGTTTCATGGGATAAGGCTTAATCTCAAACATAGTTTACGCGAGATGATTCGCTTCAGTTTGTGAGTGTGAGGTTGGATGGAAAGAATTATTCGTATTGGAATTATGTGATCAGAAATTTTCTTAAGGGTAAAAAGCTATGGGGATTTGTTAGTAGAGCTTCTGTGAAACCTAAAAAATACTGATGTAGGATATGCTGATTTGATAGATGTCTGGGAAGCAGACAATGCAAAAATTATTCCTTGGATCAACAATTCTGTTGAGTATTCTATAGGTACGCAGTTGGCAAAGTATGAGACAGTAAAGGAGGTTTGAGATCATCTACAAAGGTTATTCATTGAATCAAATTTTGCAAAACAGTATCAATTGGAGCATGACATACGAGTTCTTCAGCAAAAGAATATGAGTATTCAGGAGTTTTATTCTACTATGACAGATCTTTGGGATCAATTGGCTCTTACAGAATCGGCTGAATTAAAGGCATGTGGTGCTTATATTGCTCGTAGAGAGCAGCAACGATTGGTATAGTTTTTAATGGCACTTCGTAATGATTTTGAAGGACTTATACGTTCAATTTTACATCGTTCTCCACTTCCTTCTATTGACTCAGTTGTCAGTGAGCTATTGGTTGAAGAGATATGTCTTAAGTCTTATTCTGACAAGGAAATTCTTTCTACTTCTGATCCTTCTGTGCTAGCAGTACCTTCTAAATCATTCTTTCATAATCAGAATAAGCCTTACACAAGGCCTGCCTTCAATGAGTGCAATTTATGTAAGCAAAAAGGTCATTGGAAGGCTCAATGTCCTAAGTTAAGACAACAGAATCAATCGCAGCAGCAATCTCAAGCTTGGAAGTCTGGCAACCAGTCACAATCTAATGCTTCTAGACCACCGCAGGGTTACAAACTACCACAGCCTAATACTGCAGCAATAGTTTCATCAAGTCCTTTCATCGATTCTAGTACCTTGGCTGAGCAATTTCAGAAGTTTCTCTCCTTACAGCCACAAGCTATGTCTGCTTCTTCTTCAGGAGGTCAGTTGCCTCATAGTTCTCCAGGTATGTCACATTCTGTATGGGTCTTGGATTCTGATGCTTCACATCATATGTATCGAGATTCTTCATCTTTTGCTTTTGTATCTCCTTCATCTTCTATTCCTGTTATGACTGCTAATGACACTCATATGTCTTTAGCAGGTGTTGGTTCTGTTGTCACACCTTACTTGTCTCTCCCTAATGTTTATCATATTCCAAAACTCACATTAAATTTTGCTTTTGTTGGTCAGTTATGTGATCCTGAAAATTTAGTCACCTTTTCCTCTTCTTCTTGTTTTATACAGGATCTGTAGTCTCAGAAGTTGATTGGGACAGGCCGTAGGAAGGGGGGACTATATATTTTGGATGAGTTAAAAGTGTCAGTTGCTGCTGCTGCTGCTACTACTATTGATTTATCTTCTTTTCGTTTAAATCTTTCTTCTTCTAGTTTTTATTTATGGCATTCTCGTTTAGGTCATGTTTCGTCTTCTCGTTTGAGATTTTTGGCATCCACAGGGGCTTTAGGAAATTTACAAAATTGTGATATTTCTGATTATAGTGGATGTAAACTGGCAAAATTTTCAGCTTTACCTTTTAATCGAAATATTTATGTTTCTTCTTCGCCATTTGATTTGATTCATTCTGATGTATGGGGACCTTCTTCTGTCGCCAAAAAAAAAGGGTCTCGATATTATGTTTCTTTTATTAATAATCATACTCGCTATTGTTGAATTTATTTAATGAAACATCGTTCTGAATCCTTTGAGATATATACAGCCTTTCAAGCTCTTGTCAAAACTCAACATTCTACTGTTATCAAATGTTTTAGGTGTGATTTGGGTGGGGAATACACTTCTAATAAATTTGATGAGTTGTTTGCCTTAGATGGAACTATTCACAAAACTTCGTGTACAGATACTCGTGAACAAAATGGTGTTGTTAAAAGAAAACATAGGCACATTGTTGAAACTGCTCGTTCTCTCTTGTTGTCTTCGTCTATTCCTAGTGAGTTTTGGGGTGAAGTTGTTCTTACTGCTGTAGGTTTGATTAATACAATTCCATTTTCTCATAATTTAGGTGTTTCTCCTTTCGAAAAATTGTATGGGTATGCCCCTGATTATTCTTCATTTAGTGTTTTTGGTTGTACTTGTTTCGTTCTTCGTCCTCATGTTGAACGCAACAAGTTGTCCTCTCGATCTGCTATTTGTGTCTTTCTTGGTTATGGTGAAGGTAAAAAAGGGTATCGTTGTTTTGATCCAATAACTCAAAAACTTTATGTGTCTTATTATGTTATTTTTCTTGAGCATATACCTTTCTTTTCAATTCCATCCACTACTTATATAGCTTGACTAGATCTGATCTTATTCGTATAGATCCTTTTTCTGAGGATTCTGATAGTTTGTCATCTCAGGTTTCTAGTACTTCAAATACCATCACTGATCATTCTATAGGTACTAACACTTTACTCTCTAGCACACCTGAAGCTACCTCCTCTCCTATGGTCCCTCAAGCTCTGTCTGAGATTGTGAATCTACCTTTACGTCAATCCACACGTATTCGTAAGTCCACAAAATTACCAGATTTTACTTTTTCTTGTTATTCTTCATCTTTTACTTCCTTTTTAGCTTCTATTCATTGTCTTTCTGAGCCCTCTTCCTATAAAGAGGTAATTTTTGACTCTCTTTGACAACAAGTTATGGATAAGGAACTTTTTGCTTTACATAAGACAGATACTTGATTTGGTTCCTCTACCTCCTAGTAAGAGTGTTGTTGGTTGTCGTTGGGTGTATAAGATTAAGACCAATTCTGATGGATCTGTTAAGCGATACAAAGTTAGGTTGGTTGCAAAAGGGTACTCTCAACAGTATGGTATGATATTTCAGTTTTGAAGATAGAGTTAGCTAGACAGTTTGAAATGAAGGATTTGGGTTCTCTACGATATTTTTTGGGTATTGAGGTAGCCTGCTCACCCAGAGGTTATCTTCTTTTTCAGTCAAAATATGTTGCAGATATGCTTGAGCGAGCTAGACTTACTGATAATAAGACTATAGATATTCCCATTGAGGTTAACACAAAATATTCTTCTTCTGATGGTTTACCTTTGTTAGACCTACTTTATACCGTACTATTGTTGGGAGCTTGATATATTTCACTATTACTCGTCCAGATATTGCATATGATGTTCATATTGTTAGTCAGTTTGTTACTTTTCCTACTACAGTTCATTGGACAACAGTTC